GTGGATGATGGGGCAGAGGAAGGAGCAGGGGTGGGGTGGGGGGAGGGTGAAGGAGACACGGGGATGGGGCCTGGCTCAGTAGCTCAATGACACGGAACACGTGCCCAGGCTTTGGGTGCCCCCGCAGGAAAAGGGGGATGATGCTCACAATACAGCTCTGAGGGTTTTGCAAGGACCAAGTAAAACAAGGCAGAGGTGTTAGCTGGTGGCTGGCACGTGGGCTGCGGTCAGTCCAGTTAAAATGCGGAAGCCGAGGTTCAGAGATGCTAAGTGACTCCCCAAGGCCACACAGGAGCCAGACTGACCCCTGTGCTGATTCATTCCCGGTCCCCGCAGGGCCACGGCTGTGAGCCCGGGACCCTGCCCTGCAGGGACTGACCATCCCGGGTGGACGCCCCACCTCCGGGGGCTGGTGTGGGTTTGGCAGCGCAGGAGACAGGCCGCCGCCAGCTGAGCACTGAGCGCCCCGAACTGAAGGCTGCCATTCCGGCGCGCAGGGTATTTTTAGTTGGGTGACATGACAGACAGAGTGAAGGGTGTGACAGGAAGGCGTGCTTGTTCTTCCCCCTTGTTTGAACCAGGCACTCACAATGTGTATAATTTTAAGTGTAACAACCAGAGTTTCAAAATATGCAAAATTTCAGTCAAAATAGACTCCCCAGCATAAGCTCCTCCACTCACCTCAGCGACGGCTCCTGTCACAGCTGAAGCAAAGGGAAGAACCAGAACCTAGCCAGTGGTTGATACACTAATGCGGACGGAGCAGGCTCAGGCTGCGGCTGAGCTGGTGCCCAGCGGACAGTGCCAAGGCCACACCTGCGTGCATGACACGGGGGCAGGGCCACAGTCACACACACACCCACACTCCACTGGGTGGGGAGTGAGGGGGGACGGCCAGGGCACAGGGACAGCCACCAGGGACCTTCAGGCCCACACTGCGGAGCGATGTGAGGAGCAGGTCGGAGATGGCTCTGCTGGCCGAGGTCATGACCTCAGAATTCCCTGGCCATTTATGACTTCCTCCCAGTCACTGTACAGCTGACCTTGAAGAGCGTGGGGTTGGGCGCCGACCCCTGCGCATGCGCCGGTTCCCAGCCGTGGGTGGGAAACACAGTTCTGCCCTGGACACCACGGTGTGACTTACACAGGGAGCCACATCGACGCGGCCCGCAGTTCAGACCCGAGTTGTTCAAGGTCAACAGTATGTGGAAGGTGGGACCCAAACCCAAACTCCGAGGCTCTGGGTCTCGCATTGCCCAGACCCAGTCTCGGAGGAGGGAGCCTCGGGTTCCACCTGCAGGGCCACCCCGGTGGGACCCTCTCCCACCCTCCCTCAGCGGCTGTCTCTCCCTTGTTCTGAGGCCGAGTGCTGGGAAGGCCAAGTGCAGATGGAAGATAAAACGCCTAAGCCCACGCACAGGGAGGGCGCACACGGGCACCCTTCTCCTGGCAAGCTGTCCTCCCAGGAACCTGCCAGCTTCCTTGCCCTCCTCGCCCCCCAAATACCCAAACCCTCCAATGGGCTTCCTGAGCATCCACCCACCCGCCCGGCGTTACCAGGCAACAGATCAGCTTATCTGACCACAGGAAAGCCTGGCAATGGAGGCTGAGCGACCCCCTGGCTACCCGAGCCCCTCACTCCCCTCTGGCTGGCTGGCCCAGCAGGGCAGGCAGATGCCCCTCCCAGCCAGCGAGGAAGTCAGTACGCCTACAGATGAGGGGGGGGGGGCAGGGGGGGGCCCTCGGCAAAGAGCCGCTCGCTGCCGGCGTTGGTAACAGCGCTGTGTGGCAGGGCGGGATTTTCAATTTTATTCCTGCATTTCCAGGCCTATCCACGTCTCCTTTATGCTTTAGGGTCATACGCGGAAGTGCCTCTGTAGCCTCGTGTTTAGAAAGAGTCACAGAGCCGGGCCGGCGGGGCCCAGTGGTTCAGCATCAACCCACGAACCAGGAGGCCACAGTTTGATTCCTGGTCAGGGCACAGGCCCCGGGTGTGGGCTTGGTCACCACCACATGGACAGCCTCTGGCATCACTCCATGAGCTCAGAAAGGAGCCAGGCGTGTGGGACAGAGCAGCGGCTCCGAGGCGGAGGGTCAGGACTAGAGCGGAACTGCAGCGAGGGGACAGCGGACCGTCACGCTCGCTGCTGATTTCTGAAGCGGCACCAACTGAAGGGTCCAGGCAAGGACAAGCTAACGGAGCGCTGGGCGCTGCCCTGATGCACACATTGGTCCGCTGGGCCGGCCCCACCTCCAGACCCGGTGCTCCGAGGGCTCCAACAGCGAGCACCGTCCCAGCGTCCACCCAGGAGGGGCGGCTGGCTCAGGCTCTGTCGTCAGCCCCAACTGCTTGACTGAGCACAGCCTGGGCTCCCGCTGTCTGCAGGTGACCCAGGTGTGCAGGAGGCGCAGGGTCACCCTGAGAGCCCTCTAATCGCCTCATTAGCCGGCGGGATGCGGGGTGCTTGTTCCAGGAGGCAGAGAGCTGGCAATTGCACGGCGTCAGAGAGAAAGGTGGTGGAAACAAAAGGCCACACGTAACAGCTGCGCGTGCACAGCTGTAACTACACCAGAGCCTCTGAGTAAGGACCTGGCGCAGAGGGAGTGAAAGCTCGGTGCCGGGGGGAAAGGAGCGAGGCCCCACTGCGGCCTGTGCCCGCACGGCCACCTGCGTGGACCCGCCTGTGAACACAGCCATCAACAAGGACGCAGCCCTGAGACCATCTGTGCCGGGCGTTCCCACCAGGGGACCCAGCCACCTCCCACAACACTCTTCCTGGCCCTGTCCTGTCTGGACCCTGCTCCTGAGCACAAATGCCCCAAAGACACGATCCAGCGTGGACTCCTGGTCCCTCGTGCTGCCCCCTCTCAGAGGCCAGGACATGCTCCTGTCTACAGCCTGAGCGGCTCACCAGGCTGTTCCCACGTTAGCGATCCATCCCAACTCCCTTTAAACCAGAGGCCCTCCGCCAGCACCTCCCCGCCTCCTGTGTGGAGGCCCCCCCCACATCTGCTCTGAGGACCACATGCTTTTAAGTTCCTGGGGTGGGACCTGGGTCATGATTGGGGGACTTGGTAGTCAAGTTCATGATCATGTCCATCTCACACTTGGTGATTTCCGACTTGACTGAACCAAGGCCTCCTGGTTGGGGCCTGGGCAGGTGTTTCTGTACAGCTCCCAGCAGCTCTGGGAGAAGATTCTGTCCCCTGCTCACAGGACACACGCATCTGTCCTGAGAGCTACTCCCGGCCCCAGCTGTGTGCTCTGCTCTTCAGGCGGAGGCTGGGTGACCTGTCCCGACCGCTCATCTCCACGTCCTGTGGGCTGGTCCCCAGGCCTCCTCCGCCTGCTAAGTTGAGGGTCATCAGAGCATAGCAGGAAGGGGAGGTGGGGGGGGGGGGTTTGCCTGTGGACAGTGGCTGCAAAGCCCAGCGCAGCTACTTGCTCTAGAAGTCCAGGTGACACTGAGGGGCCGAGCGATACCAGCCATGAAGATGGGTTGGGAAGCTACGGAAAGACACTGATTCAAGGAGGCCCAAGGTTCCGGTGGAGAACTCGGCTCTGGAACCGCGTAGCGGGTCTACACGAACGAACCCCTGGGTCCCCAGGTGGCTTCGTCCAGGCCTGATCTCGTTCACAGGATAACTGGCTCCACAGAATCAAGGAAGCTGTCCCTGGGCCAGGCTCCAGCTCTGCCTTCAGCTGAGGCAGTGATATTGGGAGGCTGTAAATGCCCCTAAAGCTGGCAGGCCAGCTGCTCCCAGGCCGGAGAGCGTCATCGCGGGAGGTGCTGCACAGCTTCCCGGCACTGGGCTCGGCGGACGGTCTGTGTGCAAGGCTGTTCGGGAAGAAAAGTTCCCGTGCAGAGACTGACAGCTACCTGACTCTTCTATTCCAGGGACAGGTGGGTGCGAGGAAGGCTTGGGGGGAAAGAACGCTGTGTCGTCATACAAATACGTGCTCCGTGCGTCCACGGCCCAGACACCTGCTGATGCTCTACACTCACCCTCTGCTCTGAGCCCCAGGACAACACCGCGAGGCTCTGGCACCCCACGTGAGAGCTGAGGGGGTGGGGCCCACAGAGGCTCAGTCTCTCATCCAAGGGCACGCACATGGTCAGTAATCCAACCTAGACCCCCACGTCGGTGTTTAGAAACAAGGAGAGGAGCAAGGGCACAGATGTCTCAAACCCCGAGGTGTGTGCAATACAGTAACTCCTACTAGTTACTTAACAGTTACCAACGAGTGCGGGTGAGAAGCAGAGAGTGACATAGCCGGGGTTCCAGAGACCAGAGGCCCCAAAACGGAGCTTTGTGACAAGCACTTGTGGCCCTTCAGAACGTCTGGGGAGTAAGGTTTGGAGGACGGTCACGTGCGTTAGAGACCACCCTGCAAGGACAGCCCTGGAGGTAACAGGTCGGAGGTGCCTGGCGGGGCTCGGGCTGTGGCTGTGCTGTAACCAGGCAGAGGGCGGCCCCGTGCCTCTGCTGGTGACCACAGGCTGCGGAGCACTGACCACGCACGCCTGGGCCTGGGAAGCACTGAGGGGTAAGAGACCCTCATTTTAAACTGCCTGCCTGTTTGACAAATCAGCAACTACCAGGTAACACTTTAGCGAGGCTGGTTTGAGAAAAGTTATAGCAATAAATAAAACTGTATTTCTTTTAAGTGTCGTTGACAATTCAGATTTTTGTTCTGCTACTAATTTTAAGAGGAGGGAGCTGAGAATAGGGGAGCGAAATGCTTGAGTAACCGATGAAGATGATGGCGGTCTCTAGGCACCAAGGCCAGAAGACAAGGGCATCGGGGGGGTAAGGCCACTTAGTGGCTACAAACTAAAGCACCCGTGAGAAATGGTGCTTTTTGTATTTTATAATTATCGCACCAACTCGCTCTCGATGGGGGCAGACAGCAGATGCCTGGCAGGTTGTCACCACAACACCCAGGCCTCAGGGCCCACCCGTTTCTGTCTCTCTTCCTGAACAGTTTTCCAGAGCGTTGGACAGATGAGGGACCTGGGCTGGCCCACGGTGCCTGAACACGTTCTGCTCATGTGTGACCATCAGACGCCCTGAGAAACAGCCCAACTCCGCTCCCTCATGGAGACGGTGCTGGCTCTCAGCGTCTCTGGGGCAGACACAAGCTCTGGAAGGAATGTTAGCTTTGCTTCTCAGGATCTGCTGACCCACACGCTTCAAACCCAGAACTGCCTTTCCCGGGAGGATGCTGCCAGGGCCAGGATCTCAGCACAGCGCCAGCCCCCCGTGCACGTGCATAGGTGTGCGGGGCGGGGCGGGGCTGTTTTGACAGGGTGTGTAGGTGTCAGAAGGTTTTGTGTCCTTCAGGACTGAGGACTGGGAAGCAGACAGACGCCTGGTGATTAAGATCGCATATGGGGATATTAACCATTGGTTTTCTCTTCCTGAGAAGTAGTCAAGGAAAGGCAGAGACGAGATAAAACTTCCCTCTGTCACTGCATGGAAATGCCCGATAATCCCCAGCTAACCCACCTGCCCTTCTGCACAGACACCTGGGCTGGTAACAGGGGAGGAGGATCCGCCAACAGCTGCAGGTCCGGCTCGCAGACATCAGAGGTCTGTGAGAACACATGTCGTTCTGGGCAGGCGACACCACAGAGTGGACTGCGGACAGCGTGGAGAACGGGGTGCTGTTATTTCATCACCCACACAGAACAGAAGGACCCCTCTCTTTCGGGACAGATGGGTTTCATGGGAGGCGCCGCAGCTCAGAACAGTCACTGGTCACAGCCAAGTCCCTGTACTTTGTAGGTTTAGCGGACTTTTCTGCCCAGTCCTCAGAAAGCAGCAACTGGCACTTGCCTGAGCCCTGACGGAGGTGCGGGCAATCTGTCAGGTTTCTGCCGCCGCTCACTCCGACCGCAATTATACGGTCCATGTGCAGATCAGCTGCAAAGTCATTCTTCCACCGGGAGTGACAAGGTTCCCCCAATAAAGAAGGTACCCACTGTATCCGAGTGCCGTCTGCATTGGCAGGCAGGGCAGGGGTGGGAGGATGTAAGGAGAGCGGAGAGAAATGCCCTCAAGAGAAGGGCACAACCACGGGAAAGAGCCGTAACCGAGTGGTGACATGGCAAGAACAGAGAGCCGCATTGTCACGGCGCCGTAATCCCGTGACACACTGCTGTCACTCACCGCCGCTCCCCGCCTCGCCAGCCAGACATCAAAGGCTGCCCCATACCATCTTACACGCTCTTTACCGGCTAATCAGCCCATTCTTCCCTGAAGAAAGCCTGTGAAATCCCCACGCAGGGGCACCGCCGTCCTGGTGCCCATCTGCCAGGAGGGTCGGCAGAGCAGGCAGTGCGCTCCCTCCCCAGCGGCTTCTCAAGGTAAGGACAATGCTGGCTCCAAGCCCCTCCCAGGGCCTCCGGCCTCCGCCCTGCCCTCCAGGATCTGGGCGGGAGCTGAGGACATGCCAGTCTGGAAAGCGCTGCCTGGATAACACTTGCTAATGACACTGCAGTCACAGAGGAGTCACCTGTGACAATGGAATGCTGGGCTCCACTGAGGTGCAGGGAGAGCAACTCACAAAATGTGCTTCTGGCCAGTCGCACCTGGCAGGTCTCCTCCCACCTTCTGAGGGTGCCAACGTCCAGAGGTGGTGCCAGGGTGGCCAGGTCACTCTCGCAGTGCAGGCCTCGTGGCTTTGTCACATGCTCACAACCGGAGTTAATAAGCGCAGACACCAGCTACCCCAACCCAAAGACAGGGGCAGGCTCTGGTGCACCGAGCCTGGCCCACACAGCCGGCACCCGGGCGCCCTGCCTGCGGAGACAGGGCTGTTTCTCGGTCTCTCCGGGCAGCGCAGCGCTGCAGCGTGTGGAGAAGCGCCCGCCTCAGATACTGTCCTGCACGAGTGGGAGCTGGTGACGAAGGAAGCAACAGCTTCGTAACAACTCCAACGCTGGACCCGGAATCAGGCAGAATCTTACCCGTTATGCAGAGCCTGGGGATGCCCAGCCCCTGCTCAGATCAAGCCGGAGGTTCCAGAGTCTTAACCTTCCGGTTTCCAGCTCTGGGTCCTACGGGGCCTCGTGTATGGCCCTTTATGGTCCAAAAGGAAATTCACAAGTAATTTCTCATTCTGGTTCTCAAGACAATCTTGTCAAGTAGTTAAAAATAGAGACTTCCTTTTCCCCTTTGTCACCAAAGAAATGGAGGCAAAACAGGGCCCAGAGCTCACAAGTGCACACCAGACGGGGCTGGACCTGTGGCCCACGTCCCGTGACTCCAAGACCAACGGTCACGCCCCACGCCAGTGGCCCTTCTCCCACCATTTCATGCCAGAGAAACTGGGCCCTGACAAGGCTGATGATGCCACCAGCCCTCGCGGTGACGCTGTCCTGGAGCGTGCTGGAGAGGGTGCTGCCTGCAGGCTGCCACTAGACAGAGAGCACGTGGATTGGGGCATCTGCAATTAATGTGCAAAAATAAGGCGACACAATGCCAACTACCTGTCTAGAGCACTCAAGGGTTCTTGGTGCCCACACATCTGTGCAATGTGTCCTCCACTAACAGGCCACAGGAGCAATAATGCCAACCACCCAAACTCCCTGCGGATTTGCCTCCACTCATGGGATCTCCAACACTGGTTCCAGCCAGGGCTGGGCCAGCCGCTAGAGGAACACTGGCTAAGAAAAGAAGTTAGTTACACTGTCCTTGCTGAGGGACCTCCTGATGTGTGAAGATGGGCTCAGAGCCCAACGCCCCTACAGGCCACGCTCCTCACTGACTCTCCTCTCCCAGCTTCCGAGGGAGGGAGTCACTGTGCTCACCTCAGGAGCGCTCAGCACTGGAGCAGCACTTCAGCACCGAGGATAGCAGCACGGGCCGGAGCCTGCCTGGGGGAGGGCCGCCTGCCTAGCTCACCCTTCACCGCTCAGCTCACCGGGACAGGTGCGCCACCAGGTCCAACTTCAGGGAACCCACCAGGAGTCTTCGAACAAGCCCAGGCTTTCCAGGGAGGAGCTCCGACAGTGGTAAGTCCCCAGTTACTCCACACGAGCTGTGAAGTCAGCAACAGGTTTGTCTTGCTGCTCCCGCCCATCGGGACCCGACTGAAGACGCCACTAAATTTCTGCCAGTGCCTTAAAAATGTTACAATTAGGTATTTTATCCTCTTGCTCCAAATACTTATTATATTGAGAGGACAGATACTGGTGATAACTTACCATGAAAATCAGAGTGCAGGTTACACAGAATGCCAGCAGCGACCGGCCCAGCTCACCACTGGGAACTGGATGCAGCTCTCCATATCCATCAGACTTTGGGCCACTCGTCACAGGACAAATTCTGCGCATCTTACCTTTTCACGTTCACTTTCCTCTTCTTCACAGTTGAGCCACCAAGGTTTTGGGGGGCGTCTCTCAGCCCGAAGCTCTTAGCCACATGGCCCAGGTGGAGCAATCGGATGTGGAAGATGTGCTTCAGCGACCGGGGGTAGGTTGCGTAGGCGCGGATGAAGGACTGCAGGGCTGCAAGAAAAATGAAGGGGAGGGAGGCAGTCAGGGCGGGTCCCCAGGGCTGTCCTGGGCAGGGGGGCATCTTGCCAGGCCACAGCCAGCAGTACAACATACATCGCAACGTCCATCTACACTTGCATGCTTTTTAATTCCTCAGAAACGAACAAAAACCCTCCAACAACAACCCTATAGGCTCCAATCATCACTTGAATAAACCCAATTTAACTTCAGACTTGACTGTGTGGCACCTCGTAACTCCGGAGGGCAGGGCCCGTTTCCTCATGAGTCCCGGGGCCCAGGACAGTACCTGGCACACACAGTGTGTAGACGTTGCTGCAAGTGCTGCCTCCACCACAAGCCCCGCCTCCAGCTCCCAATCCAGAGGAGTCACTGGCACCACTTCATCCAGGACTCATGGGATTTTAAAACCAAATTCATTCTCAAGTATCCAGGACTGACACCGCGCAAAGAATGTGCAAAGGAAATGAAACAGAATTTTTTATTGGTTTTCTTCCCCCCCCCCTTTTTTTTAGAAAGAGGAAGGGGGAGACAAACACTGATGTGAGAAAGAAACATCGATTGGCCACCTTCTGCATGCACCCGACTGAGGATCGAACCCACAGCCTGGACATGTGCCCTGCTGGGGATCGAACTGCCACCTTTTGCTATACAGATGGCGCTCCAACCAACTGAGCCACCTGGCCAGGGTGTGAAGCATAAATTTTAAAGGAGAAAGAAAGGATTAAATTTCTAAAATAGTCCACAAAACAGCTCACCCCTTGAGGACTGCTAACGGCTTAGAGATGATCATCAGACATCCTATCATGAAAGTTTCCGTCCTACTCTAAAGTGTAGGAAGCGGTACCGTCCTAGACCCGGACTGGGTGACTCAGTCCCAGGAGGGTGGAGCTCTGGCCACCTCCACTCACACCCCTTTGAGGAAAGATCTCCCCTTGAATATCTGCAGTAACAATGAAAATGGAGTGTCTGCCCTTTCCCACGGGCAGGGCAGGGCAGGGCAGGGCAGGCGGGGTTGCTCTCCAAGCGTCCCCGGCCATCGCTGCTCACTGTACCTCCCAGCCAGTCTCCTGCCACCAGAGCCCAGCGGGCATGCCTGGGGGAGGCGGGCACTGAACAGCAGCCTCCCTTGCCGGCTTGCCGAGCCACTGGACTGGCAAGTTTGCCCGCAGCTTAACCGTAATATCCCAGCAGCACCCGGAGACTGGCGTTTATGAACAGTAATAAAAAGTGTCATTTTAGCAGATCAGCTCCGGGAAGGTCCTGGGAATCCATCAAAGCTCTATTTACTGAGCAAAGTGAACTCCTTTTCCCAATCGATGAGAAATAATAACCAAGGCAACTCCTCTGCACCCCTCTAAGTCTGTGCTTACTCCCCTTTTTCATATCTGGGGACTGGCTGCTTTTTCAAAGAAAACCTCTAACGCTTCCAATGGCTCCTGCTGCCTGGAGGGTTCTGACAGCCGGCTCGACACAGAGCCACAGATCCCGTCCTCAGAGAGCACAGCACACACCTGCCCGGCCGGGAGCCCAGCCTCTTCTCCCCCCCTTTCCCCAGCCCCCAACATGGACTCGTCAGAGAAACCAGACTGAAGCCCAGCCAATGAATGAACTGAGCTTTCCAAGCCTATACCCAAACGCTGGCTCAGGCCTACTCCTTTAGCCCTGTCCTCCGCTGAGCAGACCAACCCCCACTTCCGCCTGCTCCCCATTCCTCCTCGCCCCACACCAACCCCAAGAGCCTCTGCCCAGGAGACGTAGGGACCGCAGCTTTACATGGATGCTGAGTTTGCCCAGAAGTGGCGGGAGGTGCTGTCTCCTGGGACCACTGGCCAGGCACTATTTTGCACATTTTTTCTGAACCTCCCTGTCCTCAAGGCCCCCGTGTCACTGGGGACAGGGGCAGCTGGTCGTCCTCATACCCTAGCGTGGGTGCCCACGTGTGGGTGATTCAGAGAAGCAGGCAGTTCGGGGGCATGGCAGCCTCGTGAGGACCTTCCGAGGGGCCATGTCAAGACCGTAGAGTGAACGGGCTGTGGGGCCAGGACAAGCGGAGAGCAGAGAGGGAAGGAAAGCGGACATTTACCTGGGACGAGGGAGGAAGCTGTGGCCAGAGTGGGAGCACTCCACAGTCCCCGAGTCCCGGCTCAGAGCCAGATGGCTGATGAATTAGGGGAAATCTATGTTAGAGTACCCTGCATGGACATTTTGCCCTTTTTCATAGAATGACATTTATTCCTGCATCTGATCAGGAAAGATGGGGTCTTAAGGACGCTTAGGATCAAGGAGGCAGCAGGGAGCCAAGTCCAGCCTGGTCCCAGAGGAGCACCTGTCTGTCCAGAGTACAGGCACACACACCTCCCGCCCTGACATCACTGCGACCACCACCCAGAGGAAGGGGCCGGGGCGGGGGGGGGGGGGCTTGGTACCCTCCTCTGAGCGACAAAGGCCTGGCCTGGCCTGCCTCTGACCCGGTGCCTGGGGCTGTCCTGACTCTGAGAAGATCCCTTCCAAGCCGAACATAAACTCCTGCACACAGCAGCCCCTGCTCTTCGGGGAGGCCCGAGGGGGGGGGGGGGCCCGCAAACCGCAGGAGAAGTGGGAATTTGCAGGGAAAGGATTCCACTTACGAGTCTGGAGCTCAAACTTTCGTTACCACTATATTTGCCATTTGAATCTCTAGTTAAAAAGATGCAAGAAATGAAGGAAAAGGGGGTTAGTGCTTCTGGAAACTGACAACAATTACTGCTGGTTATGAACAGTGACTGGGTCAGAAAATTCGAAAGGAAAACAAATGCGTACTTGGCCCAGTTTCCAACTAGTTTTCTGCCACAAAGGCAAAACCCAGCTGCTTTGTTAATTATTCATGAGGTGGGTTCTGAAAAGGCATAAAGGGAGACAAGTCAGGAGTGGGGTTTTGCATATGCAAAAGACTGAAATGCAAAAGATAGCATCACTTCTGGGGTGTGGTAGCTGCCCCATGTTGTAAATTCAACATGTTTGCAGTGCAATTACGTGTATATCCCCCAACCCTCCGAACGCAGTCCTCAGTGACAGAAGAGATAGGAAGAGCAAAGAGCTGGATGCCTGAAGGGGTGACTGAGACTCGCCACATGCAGTCTGTCCCAGGCCACATGAAACTGGTGTGGAAATCAATTAGCCGATAAGAACAAAGATACATTTATTTCCTTCCTGGGATGAAATGGATGGGGAGTGGCCCCACTCCAATTGCCTTTTAAAGGAAGACAAGTACCTCTGTTTGCTTCTTGGTGTTAACAAGGTCAATGGTAATGATGAGAAGACACAAAACCACATTCCCTAAGGATGAGTTACTGTAACAGTCACTCCTATGACCCAGACACCTCAAGTAGTTCTGGTCTCGCCTGAAAACTGCCAACACCTGTGGCCTGGCTATTGCTTCCATTGCAGTGTGCTTTACACCTGCCATTCTGCAGCAGCGCCCTGTCACGTACAGCGCAGCAGGCTGAGTCTGCCTAGCTGACTGCAGATACCCGAACTCTGCAAAGCCGCTAAGCTAGGTTCTTTGGAAACCCCTTAGGAACTGTTGGACTCACTTCAGGGAAATGCCAAGACTGTCTTTAGGCTAGTACCAGACCCCAGGCTGGGAGGATGCATGCTGATCCGGTACAGCGGAACTTCACCTTCACCTGTGCAGTTGGCCTGCTCTCTGAGTGCGAAGGCCCATGACAGGCACTCGGTGATACTGGCTGACTGACCACATTTACCAGCTACTTCCCGATGGCCATCGTCGCCCTGTGGCCCGTCCCCCAGCTTTCACCCTTGCCCCCAAATCCATTCTTTTGAAGCCCCTGTGAGGCCACACACAGCGCTGCCCCAAGCCCTCTGACAGCTCCCATCTGATGCAGGGTGACCCAGGCCCTCGCTGTGATCTGCGTCTGCCCCCAGCCCACACGCTGGCTGCCTTCCTGAGCCCCACTGCCGGGAACCCCTCCAGGGGCCTGGCCTCTGAGTTTTTGCCGTGACCTTCACAACAGCGCTCACTCTGATGCGTTTACAACGCACCCTGCCAGCCACCCCTTTGCAGCCCGTCTTCTGCTCCATGTCTTACATAGTTCGGATCACCTTCTCATAGACTAATTTGTGTGTAATTTACTTGTTATGTTCATTGTACTCACTGTCACCCTCCCGCTGGAATGTCAGAAAGGTAAGGATTTCTGTCTGGTTTGATCCGATGTATCCCAAGCACCCAAAACAGTGCCCAACTCAACAGATATTTGTTAAATGACTTTAAAAAGAAATTTCGATTCATAAAAAGAAGAAAAGAAAGGATGTCATGGTGTTCGTACACAGTAAGTTCTCATTTAACGTCGTGGATAGGTTCTGCGGCTTTAAGCAAAACGACATATAACAAAAATGGCTTTGCCACAGCCTTACTGATATAAACAAGAGTTGAGTTCTTGCAGCATCTCATCAACATTTTAACAAAACAATGTTGGACAAAACGATGTTATCTGAGGACCTGCTGTATTGGTAAGCCAGCCAGGCATTTTTCCTCAAAACAGTTGCTCAGTGGTTAGTGCTGGCCCCAACACCAAAGGGTCTCAGGTTCAATTCCTGATCAAGGGCACATATCTGGGTTACAGGTTTGATCCCTGGTCCCCAGTTGGGGTGCATTCAAGAGGCAACCAATAGATGTGCCTCTCTCACATCGATGTCTCTCTCCCTCTCTCTCTCCCCTCCTGCCCCCTCCCACTCTCTAAAATATCCTCGTGTAAAGATTAACAAAACAGACAGAAAACCAGCAGGGAACTATCCAGAACTGTGGCCTCCCAACACGGAGGAAGCCGCATAGCCCAGGTCACACGAGGCTCTACCACAGAAGCCGCCAGCCCTCCCCTCCGCTCCGCACTCAAGTGAACTGTTGAGCCCACACCTTATGCTTGGTGATCCCAGGAGACAACTTATCCCATAAAGGGTCTGAATATTCGATTAATGCCCAACTCTTCTGTAAACGCCCTAAGAATTGGGTTCATGGTCTATAGCCCTTCCTCAGCACTGTTCTTTCTCATCTTTCTTTGTACTTTTAAACAGGCAATGCTTAGGTCGAATACCGCCAGCCCGTACTTCACCTCTAATTTCCATCTCTACAGGTATTTCTACTGACAGGTCATATCTCTCCTATCCAGTTTTCAAAGGAGAAAAATGGATCGCTAAGCCCCACGCTGCTGGGTCAAAGCTCTAGTCGTGATGTAAGCCGAGATAAAGCCTCATTTGTGCAAACCACACGGAAGAATGAAATTAACATTTAATATCACTGTAAAGCCTTCCGTGCCTGCCTCCCAACCCCGCAGCATTAGGGAGATTGAAGGCTTTTGCTGGTGAGCAGAGACGCCTGTTTGGCCTCTCGACCTGTCTGTCGGGTGTGCAGGCGGAGGTGAGCGCACGCTCTCTGCCGGGCGGGCCACCCACAAGCACCTGGAGACGGACTGACCTCTCTTTGCCCAGGCGACCGTCCCCTCGCAGGAGTGCACGTAATCCTCAAACACCGTCTGCAAGACTGTGGCTCGCTCTTGGGTTTCCTGGGGGCCAACAGCCTGGGGTTGCTGGGAGGGTGATGGGAGGATTAAAGGAGAGACAGTCAGAGGCAGGAATAATGAAGCAGTTTATAATAGATTTAATAACAGTAAAATCACACAGTAACCACCTCGGGGCCAACAGGGTAATCCTTTCAATATTACCAGGGAAAAAGGGGGCTATGAAGATGTTAAAGTCGGGCAAAGACGAGGATGGCTTTGTGATGGAGCAGACCCGGTCTGTTTGTTTATTTACTTACTTACTAACTTTTCTTCCTGGCCTCTTATCACTCACATTCAAATTGAAAATCCACTGGAGACACTGGAATTTTCTGGGTCCAATTCGGGCATTTAAAACACCAATGAAGCGAAGTTGTTCTCTAATGACTCTTGTACCTCCTACAGAGGCCCCAGATCTTCCCCTCCCTCTTCTGGGCGAGCTCCCAGTGAGCTGCCTGAACTTCTCGCGGCCCCCCCTCCCCCCCGGGTTCCCGAGAGCACGGCCTCACCCCCCGGCCCCCCAGGCCGTTCAGATCATTCTTTCAGCCCACCCTGCCGAGCTCCCAGGAACCTGTTAAGGCATGGGCTGTCCCAGCAAACTGTTCCCTATAAGAAACTGCATCTGTATGCATTGAAAGACCCTACAAAGGGGATGTGTTAATAAAATACTTTCATCCTTTAACCATCCCAAAGATTTCCATTCCTTATCGCCTCCCCCGCCCCCGCCCAAATGAGTGTTTTGTTTCTTACACATCTTAAAACAAACACGCAGGCTTGAAGGAGAAACCGAGATGCAAAAGAACACGTTGTGCAGCCCCATGTGGCTCACACTCTGCCTCTTTGAATGGGGCGATCAGCCTCTGCTGCACACTCCCCGCGAGTCACGGGGGAGACGAGGCGGCCCAGCTCATGGTCCCTCTGACCCCGCAGAGGACCGGAGCGCCTGGCCGGCTGCCGGCCTGCCCCAGACGCTGAGGCTCTCGCTCCGAGAGCTGCCAGGGAGGAACAAAGGGAGAGAAGAAAAGCCCCCTTCTTTAGGATCGACATTCACCTCTGTATTAAGAGAGACTGAACACCCTGAAAATGTTTTTAGTTTAATCAGATCATCCCTGCTACCTGTTTGGCTGATGACAGTCTAGCTGATTTCACAGTACATGGCCCCCTAAGGGCATCCTCCGCTCCAATGTCAGGAGAAAAGTCACTCCGGAGCCGTGTTACGAAAGTGGACATTTGCTGTTGTCATTAACAAGGATTTTTTCAGCCGCTTAACTGATGTGAAATGCAAACTTTCTGTGCTGCCCTCCTTTCGTTAAGCCACCTCCGCAGCGCGACTGTCACCTTCCTCGCGTTTTCTTAAAGAGACGAATGTGAAATTAGCGAGGATGCCCTTTCCCCTGGCGGACAGAATCCTCTGTTATTAAAAAGTAAAGCACTTTAATAATGAAAACTTTTCCCTCTTTTTCCTGTGTTTTAACTGTTTAAAATTAATGAGAAGGGCAGAATGGCTGTCAAAGCGATATTGAAAGCCGGGCAGCCAGGACCGAATAAGCACAAAAATCCCTCCAGAGTGTTAAATAAACAGACTCAGCCTCCGAATCCCTCTGTTGGTTATTGTATACATTCTGTAACAGCTCTCAGAATAGATCTGAGAGCCAGGGAGGCAGAGAGGGTTCAGAATTCCAATAAAGGCCTCAAATTAAAGACAGCCTGGTGCGAATTCCAGGAGAAAATTAAAGAGACCTCAAGCTTAAGTGACAGGTGACTTGCTTCTGTGACACAACTGTCAGGGGATTTAGTGATAATATGGCAATATATTACAAAGGGCTTTTCTTATTCCCCCCCTTTAGGTTTCAAAATGAGGCATCTTTTTTTCCCAACCCAAAAAAAAAAAAATTACATATACACACACATATAAAAATGTGAGTGTGTATACAAGTGGAATATGTAGAAAGAGGCATTAAAACTGGGTTCACACATCTGAAATGATGAGGTCAGTTTTAGTAAAAATGAGGAGTTAGTGGCAGAAAATATAATATACTTTGGAAAAAGCATGCCTTACTACCCCCACCCGTTCCCAGAAATACTCTATTTTAAAATTGCCCCTCCTAAGAGTGAGTGAGGCACTTCTCAGTTGTCTTTTGGGGAGGACAGTCTAAATTTAAACTGAAGACAGGGGGGCAGAGTGACGCAGCGCGGCTCAGCCCAGACAGGTAAGCTGCTCCCCTAATGAGGGTGGGTCAGGCCCCGAGGGCATGTGAGCCCCACAGGATGCTCTGGCACCTCGAAGGCACAGATTCTGTGCTGGCTAATGAAGCCAGCCGGCAACTAGTGGACCCAGGCCGTTTGGAAAGACACATTTCCAACAGCTGCACGCACTCAGGCCCTCTGTCTGGGAGACCCTACTGATCTGGAGAGAACAGACGATCAAAGGGCACGATGCAAGGGCTGGTGATCTTATTTTAATTTCAATGTCTTGCGAGGCCAGTGACAGGTTTTGTTAGAATAAGTTTACAGGCCTATTTCACAGGACAAAAAATCTCACAGGAACGTGCCCGCTTTGAAGACTGAAGATAACAACAATCCCACGCTTATCAAGAAACAACAGATGAGTTGAAGATAACTGCACCCAATGGCTGTTGTCAAAGTGTTAAGTGGGAGCAGTAGTGGGGAGAGCGGCTTTTCGGAGGGAAGCATGTGTCTTGATACAGCTAACTTCTAAAGCATTTTAAAACTAAATGGAAGGATTTGTTTTAATCACTTTATTGCCAAGCTGAGTTTTATTCCCTAGAAACTTCTGAGTGCTTCCCAGAAAAGTTGAAAGATCAAATGTATTCTCTTTGTAGGTGGGTGAACTCACACACCCGGGCGCGGCTATATATATTTTATATGCCTAAATATGAAATATACATTTTACAGATGCTCCCCTGGTTTGCTTTCTGTTCACAGAAGCCCAGAAACGTACATGCCAAAGGGACATTTACAACGGACTTCAACCAGGCGAGTGGGGAGGGCAGTGTAGTGAGCCGCCCGGCTACGTGGCAAGGTCCGTCCCCTGGGCCCACTCCTACCTGCCAGCACTGGCCGTGCTGCCCCAGCTGAGAACAGCCAACAAGACGCACTGCACTTATGGCAACTAGAACCAAAAGCCGGGCCCAGCCTCCACTCTGTTCCTCCTGCTGTTCACAACACTGTCAGCTGTGTATCCATGTGATCACGGGTCATATTATCAATTTCGTTTATTTGTTCTTTGTCCTCTGAATTCAAGCTAAAATGGGTCAAACAAGTCAGGTTTTCATCAACAGGACGCCTAGAACCCAGCATGAGCAGTTTCGTTTTCTAAGTTAACTGGGTGTTTTGGTGTCAATAAATGCCCACCCTTGCCTAGCACTTTTCTTTCTAAAAACAAAGACCATCAAACCTTAAAAATATCAAAACACTCCATCAGGGCAGGAGCCTGGGGTGTAGAGTGTGTGCAGGGCGCTCTATGCCCTGACTCATTTAAACCTCCCGACCACCCTACGAGATGGGCACTCTGGTTCTCCCCATTTTGCAGATGGAAAAACCAAGGCTGGGAGAGGCTAACCGGCCCCCAGTGCAGAACCACTAGCTGTGAAGCAAGGACTCAGACCCAAGTGTGCAACCCTGGGCCTGGCCCCTCTGGGCCCAGCAGGCTTCAGGGCTGGCCTCGAGCCAAGGCACAGGCTGGAGGAAAACCTGCCTGCAAGGCCACAGCGGGCGGGTGCTAGGAAAGGGCCCGTGTCCTGAGGAGCAGAGGGGACCGCAGCTGCGCTGCTCCTCCTCTGGGGAACATCCTGCAGGAGGCCCCACAATGCACCCCATGACCCAGGTCCACACCTCCACCAGGGCCGGGCGCAGAGCGTCTCCGTGAAGAGGGGCTGAGTGGACCTTCCTGTCTCAGCTGCGGCCTCACCGCTTTGCTCTCATTTCCGAGGAGCAGGCAGATGCTAACCTGCCGCTCCTGGTGCCGTGGCAGAAGGCTTGGTGTCACTGCGCGGGCTCTGATGTCACATCGGCTATGAACTGATGTGACAATATGACAGTGATGAGTAAGAACCACAGCAATAACAACCAAATGCCCTTTGGTAGCGGTGCTGGGGTTTGGGCTATTTCTTACTCCATCCTCCAGCGTCCTCAGGAGAAGAAACCACCGTCATCTTTACTTCGAAGAAACTAAGGACTAGAAGGGCCAGCAGTGCCGTCACACCGCTGAGAAGGGGGACCAGGAGTGACCTGAGGCCACGCTCCGAACTACTCTGCCCCACGGCCCCCTCAAACAGCTCCCCCGGGGCCCTGCGCATCCCGCAGAGCTCTCCGGGGCCACCAGGAAAGTTGTGGGGGCAATAAAAACCCTAACTAGAACCTGCAACAGCTCCAGAAGAGCAGAGGCGTCAAGACCAGGCGTGCCCTTGGTCACTGGTCAACTGTCTTGATCGTCACTCTTAGGAAGGGTGGTCCCAAGTCCACTGTGGCTGGGAGTTTTTCCATAAACATCGCCTAAAACAGCTTGTTGATCAGCTGAGTCTTTAATCACTTTTCTTACTCACAGGGAGCTTTGTTGTGTACTATTTATTGACCAACTTTCACTTCTATAAGAATGGTTTCCATGACCTATATAAAAAGGAATGTAGTTCCATTTTCCTGGTTTGGTTACTACAAGAGAGGATATTGGTGTATAAGGATGTGTGCTTTGAAATCAGACCGCTTGCTCTCACATCCCAGGAGGACGAACAACTAGTGTGCCCTGGCCAATGTCCCTTCACCTCTGCAGCCTCGGCTTCCTCATCTACAGAGTGGGAGGTTAAATGGGACCGAGCCTGTGAACAGCCTCGTGTAGTCCCGAGTCCAGAACCCAGAGGTGACAGACGCTGGGATATTCCTCTCCTTTCCCTACGTATTCTCCGACCAAGAGAACTTAAATCAGGGCCAGTCAAATCCAGTCCCCGACTCGGGGAGAATATCGATCCAAATTAATACACACACTAGCAGATAAAAAACCTCTTAAGCTTGGTCTATTTGGCTCTGATTTTCCAGTCTATCCTCAGGCATCAGAAAACAAATGTGAAATATCCTAATAATTAGTATATCACAGACAAAGTTACTGACAGCAACACCACACACTCACTCTCACTCACACACTCTCACATTCACTCTCACACTCTCACACTCAGTCTCACACTGACACACTCACTCTCACACTCACTCTCACACACATGTGACGCTCTGAGTGAGTGCAGGACTGGTGGGGGATGCCTGCCTGGCAGGAAGACAGCCTCAGGAAGAAGCGGCCGCTGCTCAGGATCCCCTTACGGAACTGCATGGGCAATAAACATTTTTCCTCTTAATGATCTCAACTTTCCTCTTCCTCTGTGTACTGCACACAGTAAGCAAATGGATGAACTAAGAGTGTCTGAAAAGAGACATGCTGTCTTGGGTGGACGGCCTGGTCAGTTGTCCTTGGTGACAATTGGAGAGGGCCCGCTGGGCTGGGCGGGAAACGCCTGTGGGCGCGATAAGGCCGAGGAGTGGCCTGGGCGGGAAGCCTGCCTGCCGGGCGGACTTCCAGCACGGACACTGGCCCATTCACTGGGTGAGACCAGCAAACACCCAGAAGCAACGGAGAGAAAAGACACAATCAGATTTGGCCTCATCTGATGTTGCTGGCCCTCAAATAGGCACTTTACTTGATAGGAAACAATCAGCAGCAGCAAAATCTCCGCTACCCCAAGTGGAGAAGTGAGTCCCATCTGTTAGCAGCAAACAATAAACAATAAAGCTCACCTGGCCACCACCTCGTCTGGCTTGGAAAGAATCATCCCTTGTCAGAACAGACAGAATATCCTCCATCTTCATCTCAGAAGTGCTGTAAGAGAAAGAGCACAATAAACACTCCTCTCCCAACCACCCAGATCCGACGCCCAGGACCGGCCCTTCTCATGGCAGATGTCATGCAGAAGGAGCACCGCATAGGGAGGGCCTGGCCTCACCCCCAGGAACCTGGGAGGAAGGGACGGGGGGACTAGTCCCAATATGTCCCTTCCTCCCGGGTGAGTTTTAAGTGGGCTGCATTTAGAATTTTCTTTATAGGGGTCACCTCTCTTTCTTTCTTAATACTGATTTTAGAGATGGAGAAAGAGAGATAGAAACATCAATTTGTTGTTCCACTTATTTATGCATTTACTGGTTGATTCTTGTATGTGCCCTGACCGGGATCCAACCCACAACCTTGGCGTATCAGGACGACCCTCTGACCAAAAGAGCTACCTGGTCAGGACAAATGTCGTTGTTTCTTAATAAATCTCAAATACTAAATAAGTAGGCCTGGTTACTGATATATTATGTTGACTTGAGCAAGAGATGATGACATAAAAACATTTCAGATAGTCCCTTTTGTTTAGAATTTAATAAAAAGGTGGGGGCGAGCTTAAGATCCTTAACTGTTGGGGTGAACACCCAGTGAAGGTTAACGGGCCAGCACCTGCTGTCCACTCTCTTCCAATCCGCCCGAAGGATCTTCATGCCTGTCCCTTAAACACTAAGGGTGAGGAGCGCGCTCTCTGGCGAATGCAGAGCTATGTGCAAACGGCCGAGAGCAGAATGTGGGCATCGGCCATGACCAGAGCCACGGAGCCCAGACAGCCGTCCCCCCTGCCTGCAGTGGAGCCACCACACAGCCGTGGGAAGTGCGTGCCGTCACGTATCAGAGACCAAGGAACCGGGAGCGGCTGACGCTTCCCAGGGAGAAGGGGAAACGAAGGGGGAGTTCTGGGGCAGAAAAACAGATCATAAAAAAATAAGTGATTTTCTCACACGCTGTTGTTTGTTAAAAAATGTAACGGCAGATTAAAACACGAACAGCAAGCTCTAATGTGGGACCAGGCACCGCTCCCCCTTTCCCCTAAAGGTTACTCTGCCGAAGCTATGAATGAAAATGTCACGTCTCCGACAGCTATTTACCTGAAATGTGTCACCACGTCCCTGCACGCCCCAGCCCGCAGCCCCCTCTGCTGCAGCTTCGGGCCGTGGATACGGGAAATCTTTGCACAAAAGCACGAGTCAGCCGGGAAGGCAGAGTGCTTACTGGAGGGAAGGAGTGGGGGAATGCCCATGATTTCTTGGGAAATCTATTCTTCATATGCGAGGGGACTGTTACGGCTTTGACCTCGCCTCTTATTTATGCCTGGATGTCTGAAGGGGGGTGAAAACACAGCCCAATCCTATCTTTTCCTTTGACTGTCTGACTTGCCTCTATTCATCCCTTTCTTTGAGGACAAATGTCGGAGGAATACAAAAGTAAAAGAAGCATAAGGACTTGGGGTCAAATCTTGATCAGGCAGAAAAGAAGGAATAATGCCATTCACAGTCAGGGACACAAAGAACTAAACATGCCACAGAAGGCCAGCTTTCCCCGTGCACGGCAGCGCTGTCACGCCCGCCAGGGCCCGCTGCGACGTGGTGTGCGGGTCCGCATGACAAGCTGGACCACTGACCCTCCAGGAACAGGAGCTGAGCGTGCACTGGGCAACTTACAGTGCCAGGGCCCTCCCATCCTCAGAAACCTCTGCTTCTGAGGAACAAAGCGCATCTGCTCTGCTTACTGATGGTTCTATCAACAGATCTGAACCACCCACCTTACCAAAGAGGAGGGAGGTAAATAAATAAATTCAGGGAACTGTCTTATGCCTGATCTAAGAAACACACGTTTTGATGAAGCACTTACATTTTAATAAACCAATGACGACTTTCATTAGAAACTTCTCCTTTCATTAAAGTGGGGCAAGTGAAGGAGCTGGCAAGTACAAAGAAGTCAAAGGACTAGAAACAAAGTCCTCAGCGTCTAGAACGAGGCGGCCATGGGCAGGGCACTGTCTCTCGCCCCGTCTGCTAAAGGGAACTGCGGAGTGTGAGGCAGGCAGCAAGGTGCGTGAGGGCCTTGCTGCCGTCCGGAATCTTCCCCGCAATTCATCAGCCATCCCAGCATCCCGCTGCCTGGCTCTCGGGTTCTTGAGCATAAAACACACACACATTCTCCTCCTTTAAATTTTTAAAAAATATTTAGGAGTTCCACCCTGGCCAGGTAGCTCAGCTGGTTAGAGCGTCATCCCGATACGCCAAGGTTTCAGGTTTGATCCCTGGTCGGGGCACATACAAGAAGCAACCAACAAATGCATCAGTAAATAGAACAACAAATCGGTGTTTCTCTCTCTCTTCCTCTCTCTAAAAATCAATTAATAAAAATCCTAAAAATAAATAAATAATAAATATTTAGGCATATCTTTTGGATTCCAAAAATGTTCACATCTGCTTCTTTCCACAGTGCACTCTGCCATTAGTTCTTATGAGATTTCATTTTTTTGTATTAAGTCAAAGAACAGTCTATATTAGATGTCCAACATACAACACACCCTTCCTCACGTGGACACGGGACGCTGGCGCCTGGCTGTGCACCGTGACCGGGTCTGAGCGTTACTGAGCGGCTCGCACCAGCCCGAGACGCAGTCAGGGGTTCGGGCACAGGCACTTCCATGGGTGACTTTTTGGGGCAGAAGCCAGTGAGGGTGGACCCTACAGGCCTTTCCCCTAAATGAATGTTCTCACACCAGCTGGTATCCTCCCTCCACTAGGCTACACTCCCTCCCTCTCTTGGTATTCCCTGTCCTCATCCTTCTGAACTTCCTCTCCACGTCCAAGATGAAGCTCTTGGTGACGAGTGAGTGGCCAGCGTGAGCTCTCTCCTAAGTAAGGTGAAGTATGCAAGTGTTCCCGACACAAACGAAAGCACCGCTCACTGGGAAACTGTCAGGATGAGAGACATTAAATGAGCCCACTGGGCACTGACCACTCACGGGGAGTGGACCCCGCCTGCCCCACCCAAGGAGATCAGACACCTTTTCTGAATAAGCCGCAGTCCATGAACACTCACGCCAGCAACCCCGAAAGAGTGCCACGAGGGTGAGAGCAGAGCCCTGCAGGTACTGGGGGGCCACCTTGTGCACCCATCTCTCCCAGTGGGTGACCTGGGGTCCCCCGGAGCAGGTTCCGATGTGGGGGGCAATGACTTCCCAGGAGAGACCCCTGCAGTGTTCCTGGATGCTTTAGAGAGAGCACAGGCCTGGGCAAAGGCAAGTACCAGCAGGCGAGGCCCCATGCTCAGCTGCTCGGCAGAGCTGGGCGCCGGAGTCACCGGTGGCTCCTGGTGGCTCTCAGGGTACCCTCGGCAGCCACGGCTCTTGCGGTGCCTCCAGGACATGGGATGCACCGCTGTGCTATGTCTGAGCAGAAGTTCTGGAACGTGGACCAGAGTAAAAACTTTAGAAGCCTATTATTAGACTTTGTTATATCAGGTGCCAGAGACTGTGTGGAAAATATGCTAAAATATTAATTCCCGGCCCCCGTGGATTCCTCCCGCTTGCACTGTAACTCCTGGACAAGAGGAAGCGCCACTCTCCCTGCGGCTTTCCCCGCCTTTCCTCAGGGAGGTCAGGTCTGGCAGAAGCCCCTGGCGCAGCTCCCGTGCCACTGAGTCCTCTGCGCCGTGACCAGGGCTGGACCGGGGCTGCAGGAGGGGACAGGGAGGCGCTGCCACCTGCCCAGGCCTGACAAGATGGGGGCCAGAGCTGCCTGCGCGTGTGCACACACTCCAGTGGCCACCCAATCACTTCCTTCCAGGTTGGTTTTCCTGAGGGAAGGGGAATTGTGTGATGAGTAAAAAGTGTTGTTTTTTTCAAAGATAAACCATCTTCACCTTGGCTAATGTTGCTAAATGGTTAGAACATCAGCCCACACACCAAAGGGTCTCCGGTTCGATTCCCAGTCAAGGGCACAAACCTGGGTTTCAGGTTTGCTCCCTGCCCCCGGTCAGGGCGTGAGCAGGAGGCAATCAATTGATGTGCCTCTCTCACATGGATGTTTCTCTCTCTCTCCCTCCCTTCCACTCTCTCTGAAAAGCAATGGAAAAAAATATCCTCAGGTAAGGATTAAAAACAAAACAAAATAAAACAAAGATAAACCAACTTTAAAGGTACATTAATTGCAAGAAATAAAAATTGTGAACAGAACGGCCTACAAGAAGCCGGCTGTCAGAGAACGAAACACGGGCCTCCTTGCATGAAACACAGAGGCGACAGATCGTCCTATGACTTAGTCTCGCCACGCAATGGAAGTTGTCATGTGCTGACGGCATGAAGGGTTTTGGCTGTTGCCACTGGCTATTCTGGGACTCATTTAGGGATCACAAGGGTTAATGGCTCTTCGTCAGCTTACAAGGCCCAGCCGCTATAAGAAGCGACAGAAAGTTAATTAGGTGAGATCAGCCGGAGCCGCTCGGGTTTCTGACTCACTTGATTTTGTGAGAAGCCAGCGAGCTGACATATTCTGCCTCCGAAGGAGCCAAGAAGAGCAGGCTGCTCCCGTGGCAGCCAATGCGGGCGGTTCTCCCGATCCGGTGGATGTATTCCGCGGCTGAAGACGGAGCGTTGTACTAAAAAGGGCAACAGAAATGAAGGCATTCACAGATCAAGGGACTGCCATTAATTGGAAGTGCAATACCCCTCACCTGCCTCCAGGTATCCCAGGAATTAAATCCTGGTGCTATGGTTACCCTAACACAATCACAAGGCGAAGTCACTCAACCCTGAAACTCCTGCTTCATTGGAAATAACAAGGCTCTGACAGGCCGACGTGAACAGTGGCCAAGTTTCAGATAAACGAGATGTCTCCTCGTCCCAGTATCTCCTTTCTAATTTTATTTCTCCACAGGTCCCTGCAGCTTCCTATTTGCATCTTTTCACGGAGGTGACTGTGCAAGGTGAAAGCGTGGGCAGGTGGGGAAACCACTGCAGATGACCACATGACCTTGGCCTACTCCCTGGCAGACAAGCAGTGGAGGGGAGGAGCCTGACAGGTAAAGAGCAAGGGGTCGATGACCTGGACCAGAGGTCAGCTCGGGGCTGGGCCCCAGGAGCTGGCCTCCGCACCTGCCTGCAGCCCTCGGTCCCAGCGGAGCAGGGCTTCCTCCCCACAGGGACTTGCTCCTGCCCCGCGGACAGTGTTCCTGACCCTGGGAAGGGGTTCTAGAACTCAGTGGGATGAACTGCGCACAGCATCATGTCGTCTACGGCAAGAACTTCACCATCATCAAAAATGACCCTTTTCGCCCTCTGCTGCTACATGAATCAAACGTCAGAGGGCAGATCACACTAGTCAATATTCACAGTATAAGGCTCTACATGGCTGACTCTGTGTCCAGCCTTGCACACATCCCAGTCACCCGCGCCTCCTCAGCTTTAACTCGCTCGGAGGCCAGCGGGAAGGAAGACGGCGCTTCTTGTCACAGTGATCACCTGCGGGGAGCAGAGATTCCCCACCCGTGGCAGGCGTGTAGCTGCACCAGAACGTGAATAAACCATGATTCATGTAAACAGGGCATGTCTCCCCTGGCCCGCACTCAGAAAGGCTTGAAAATACCATTCTGCAGACTAACGAAAAGAAAAAACAAAACTAAAACCACCAGGCCCTAGCGCTAACGCCCATACCCTCTGGCAAAGTGTCTAAGGCTCGCGGTCTGTGTGAGATGCTGTCAGGGACTTAATTGCCCCCTGCAGGTCAATGTACAGGACACGGCTCTCAGGACAGCTGAGCCGTCTCCTCCTGGACACCATGAGGCCTCCCAGGGGCCCGGGGAATTCCTGTTATTCTCAAATGGCTGAAACTTTGCGTGTGACATGCGTTAGTCTGAAGCCGGGAGCGGCCCCCTCCCGCGATTGCAGGCTGGCTGCTTGCTGCAGCAGTCAGGTGGGCTGAGTTAAGGAAAGATGTCAGGAGAATTGTGCAGATACGGCCGGTTGCTGCCTGGTTACCAGGGCAACACCCAGGAGGGTAATAATAATTATTCTACTTAAAGCCAGCGCATCTACTCATGATCATATATTCCTGCCTCGAGCTCACACCTTAACAACTAAAAAATTACCTGAACAATCCATGTGACTTGAGGGAGATCTAAGCCTCGAGCTGCAACATCCTTCAAAACAGAAAAGAAGACGGCTTAGGACTGAGTTTCTGAACCATGTGGGGGTCACACACAGATCCGCTGATAACCTCATACAGAGGAAGAGGGCTCACACGCTTGCTCACACACACACACACACACACCTGCACACGGCCTCAGGAAGCCACCAGTCCGTTTGTGGTTCCAAGTTCTGACTCGGGGTAAATGCGAGGAGCCCGTCCCCCGCAGGAGCCCAGGTCCTCACACGCGTCGTTCTCCGTGGTGCCTTGGAAGAATTCTGAAAACTTCCAGCGTGTCTGACCGCTTTTACATTTTGTCTGGGACACTCTATGAGGAATGCGCTCCTGGGTTATCAGCCCCATCCCGCGCCCACCAGCAGAGCGAACGACCAGCACTGAGGCGGGCTTCTGGAAGGTCACCCAGGCACCCCTCGTGGAGGTGGCCGCAAAGCATTTCCTGCGCCTTTGCCGGCAGCCTCCAAGCAGCAAGGCCCAGGCAACGCCTGCCTCTCTGTCGTCTAAATCAGAACACGGGACCAGACAGGCGAAACTATGACAGCAATGGAGACTCCGATTTTCTTTCCGGCTGGTTGCCACCTGCAAAGCGGACTCCTCTCTAGCTGTTCTGGCTCCTCCAGCCCCCAGCAAGCAATCTGCACTGGCATCATCTTCACGCTGCCAGTCGGAGCAAGAGCACCCGCCAATGCGTCCTGGGCACTTCCTACACACCAGCCCCCGTGCGGCTCTTCAAAACAACTCTGATTCCAAGGCCCTGTTACAGTCTCTGCTCTGACCCCAGAAAAGGCGCCACACCTTCCTGCGCCGTGGTGGGGAATTTGGTAACATTCAGCAAAATTGCTATGTACTTACCCTTTGACCCAGAGCAATCTTACATCTCAAAATCCATCCTGAGGACACGCTGGCAAAAATACAAAATGGCCTCTCACGCACAAGGCTGTTTGTGTGGGCAGCTTGTGGCTGCAGGCCTGGCAAACACCCCAACGTCTAGCAGGAGACAGTGACCCCGATACCGCAAACCCGCCCCTTATGTACGGTTCCACCGCCATGAGAGGGAGGGTTCCCATGGAGACTCACTAGGGTACATTTCGAGTGTGTATAACATGCTTTTGTGTAAGAAATGAGGGAAATAAAGTATATTTGCCCATATTTCTAAAAGAAATAATAAAGGGGAAACCCCAAAAGCTTAGAAAAATAGTTGCCTGGAGAGGAAGGGAGAGGAGAGGAGAGGAAGGATGGAAGCGAACCTCGGTCAGGGGACCTTCAGAATGTGACGCCGAGACTGAGTAAATGTCTGCAAACTAAAAAGTAAGATGACTGGCTGTCGTGCCACGTGAAGTGGAGTGTCACCTATTCTCCAAAGCAAACCCCCCAAAACCTGGGCCTCACAAGGGGTCTGGACGTAACTGCTAGTTTAGAGGAACTATGGGGGGGGAGGGACAAGGTAGCCACCATGAGGAGAGACGGGGCAAATCCATGGGGCACATGGTCTGGTTTCCTCCACCAGAAATCCAAGGGAAAATAGGTCAGCAACCCACACCCAGACGCAGCAGCACCGGGTGGAAGAACGGACAGATGGCTCAGCGGGTCCCCGAGAACCAGCACCCGGAGAGTCCCCCAAACTGCCAACTGACTTCTCTCCAGGCGGAGGGGTTGGGTGATTTTCACTTTTCTCTTTGCATTTTTGTTTTATTTTCCTCTTAACAATAGATGGATAGATGCCCCAGATTTTCACTTAGAAAAATGGCACCTACAGAGAAGCTGGAGTAGCACAACGAGCACCTGTTTGCCTTCACCTGGACGCGCCGATGAGGATGGCTGGGGCGCCCGCCTCCTCTTTCCCTCTCTACACACACGCTCCTCTGAACCACGGAAAGGCCCTGGGACGCCAGGACGCTGTACCCCTACATACTTCAGATGCGCCTCCTAAGTAAAAGCACATCCTTCTACATTGGACACTCAGTGCCGGGTCACACTATCTCCTAGGAGTTCGGTTCACGTTGCTCCAGCTGCAGCAGAGGTGGGGGTGGTGTGTCCCTCTGCTGTCCGTCCTGTATGGTGATGACTGTCCACTCGCCTGAGGGAGGGGCGCCAACAGCCTCTGCATCTGAAGGTACCTTCGCCTTTCTAATCAGTAAGAAATTGGGAAGAGAAACTGGGAGACCGTTTCCCAAATCCTTCCACCCAGTGTTTCCGCCTCTGTGGGTGCTGCCTGTCTGTACCCTGGTGACTGCGAGGGATGACTTCCTGTCCGGCACACCTTCCTCCCACTCGAGAACTGGCACCCTTTGCAAGAGCAGCCTCCTTCCTTCCACCCAGTGTTTCCGCCTCTGTGGGTGCTGCCCGTCTGTACCCTGGTGACTGCGAGGGAGGACTTCCTGTCCAGCACACCTTCCTCCCTTTCGAGAACTGGCATCCTTTGCAAGAGCAGCCTCCTCTCTCCCCTCTCTGAAGTACCACTAAGGAATCACATGTATAGTTGGCTTTTTTGAAAAATGATAATCCTATGCAAGTTTCTGCAAGAAGCACATTAAAACGATCGCTGCCTGGGACTGAGGGAGACTCCGTGCCACATCCACCTCGCCCAGCACGGGGGCGGGACAGGCTGGTCAGCCCTCCCTGCTCTCCTCCCAGCGGCGCCAGGCTGCCTTTCTGATGCATTAAGCTGGAGTTTAATGTATGAAGGGTGCCGAGCGCCCACGAGGTGCCTGCAGGCAGCTCCCACACCCCTGCAGGCCCGTCCCAAGCAATGCCTTTGAGAAAACTAGTGCTCCCCTAAGGGGCCCGGGACCGCCTTCTGCACTGACCACAGCTGATGGCGTCATTAAGAAACGACGTGTTACTGACGTGCTCTGTAGGGGGGGGTGCATGCAGACAAGGGACTGCCGGAGCCAGACAGACAGGAGGGCTTTGCAGAAAATGTAATGTTCGTCAGTTTAGTAAATTCAACCAAGAATCTCTAACACAGCGCCTGGCGTTCACACAAGTCACGGAGTGCACATGCGCTGAAGCGGTGAGTTAGGAGCGACTGCAGACCGCAGCCTCTCATCCGACCGGTCAAGGTTCTGCCTCCCACCCGGTGGCCTGGCTCAAGACACCAGCTCAGACAGTCCTCCCTGTGTCCCACTTCTTGTGTTGGGGTGGGGAGACCTCACCAACAGTCAACCACCACTCAGCCTTGATCAGCTATGCCTTTAAGCACGGCTTTCCATTCTGGGCCTGGCGGCCACAGAGAGCAGGAAAAAGTACTCTCCCTGCTCCAGGAATGGAGGATGGACTTCAGCAGCCATTAGATCTGGGTGAGTCAACTGAGCCCCGAGCCTCAGTTCACACGCCTAACAATGGCTGTAGGATCCACCCTATTTATCTCCAGAGGTGACTGAAGATCAAATGAGGCCGTGCATATCAACACTGAGCAGCCATCTAATGTCACTTCCTGATGAAGGAAGAACTGGGATGGTGGTGACCAGGCCTCCCTGCTCTCTTCCCCGCTCACACCCTCCCCCTGGGGCAGGGGACAGAGGCAGGACCCTGCTCCCCGATCCTGCAATGGCATCAGCGGGCACTGGGGCGCCAGGAAGCTGACCTGCTGAGGACTCAGCAGAGGCCTCAGCCTCACCACCCCCGTCAGAACTCAGGCCCAGCCCCTGTGCTGCTGGAACCTAACTAGGGCAGAAGAACCGCTAAAGTCAGCTCTGAAAGACACTCGGCGGTGAGGCCGGGAGGGCCCAGCTTGACGACCGGCCGCCTCCACGAGACGGAGGAGCACAGATGGAAGGCAGCTTGCTCAGGTGCCAGCCTGTCAGTTGGATTAAAATGACTCATTTATTTACCCAAGATCCTCACAAAGTGCTTTTACTAACAGGGAGAGGGGCCGCCGGCGCTCTGAGGAAGGGACGCAGCGAGCTCGCCTCTGCGCCACCCCGGCCTGCCAAAAGTCATTACTGCCATGTGTGGGAGCCATCAGCGGGGTACAGGCCCCCGTTGTCCGGGTGACAGATTGGGCTGCACAAACAGAGGAGGAAGGAGAGAGCGCAGAAGCTGTCAGAGGCGAGAGATCTTGGCTGGAGCCGCCAAAAAACTGGCAACATGAGTTAGCGTAACTGAGTAAACAGCCAACAGTCTCCCAAGGATTTTGCCATTAACACAATGAAATAAAGTGGAAAAGAGAAACTTCACCTAAAAAATAGGCCCCACAGAAAACCGAGCGCCTCCACGCACTTGGGCGGTGGACGGGTCTCGTGGCCCCTGCGGACGTGCTCCTTTGTCTCGGAGCCTCCTGGCAGCGGGACTCCCCCGGGGGAGGGAATTAAGAACTGCAGACATAACAGCGGACTTCAAGCAAAAAAACGCGAAGGTGGAGGCGAGCAGCACAGGTGACTTGCCCAGCGGAGGGGGGTGCTCTGCTGGCTGGGGCCAGTCCCCAGGGAAAGCGAGAAGGACACATTCGAGGACGCGAGAGAAGGGCCGACTTGGCTGAGGGTAAGGAACAAGCGGGAAATGGGGACAGAGGAGACGGGAAGGGGTCCAGCCCCAGAAGGTACTAGTGGACACGAGAACTTTTGACAAATTTATCAAATAGATTATTTGGACTCGTCTGCAGTGTTGGCTCGCCTTTGAAGAGAGGGAACACCAGCACCCGACTTGTGGACGGGCTCCTAGAGAGGGCTGCTGGGTCGGACTCAGACCTCCGAGGCCAGCACTCCCAGCAACTGTTCTCCGTCTGACCAACCACGCTCGGCACAGCCAGGCGGCCACACGTGAGAATCGGCACACTGCTGGCTGGCAGGCCGTCTCCTTTATGACCTTACACAAGAAAGACAGGAGCACTCACCCATACACTCGGAGTTCAGGGAGAAAACCACCGCTAAGTCACACTGAACACGGAGCAGGAGTTCCTTAAAGAGGAATTCATTAGAGGCCTAGCAGGTGGTCAAAGAGCTACTCGTCTGCTGCTAAACAGCACGTCATCACCGGGTTACTCCATTTACAGTGCCGTTTCCCTGCTGTGTGGACAGGGATTTCTCAAATCATCAGGGATTAAGCTGCATCACCCACGATGGCACAAGTAGGGAGGGATTTTAATCTTGGGAGCGAGCAAAGCCCCGGTGAAGTGCATCCCCAGAGAAGGGCCGTCGAAGGCGGGACTTTCCATCTTGAAAGAGCCGGAGATGTGCATTCAAAGGGCCAGCGCTGGGCTGGAGGCAGCCTCCAGGGTGGCAGCGCGGGGCGAGGGAACTGCCTGCACACTGTAGGGCAAGTGACAGACACCAGCAGACACACTGCCCACGGCAGCTGCTCCTGGAAGGAGGTGAGCAAGGTGCGTAGAGTGATTTTGTTGTGGAAAGACTCTCAGCTCTAATTACTCCCGATAGCTGTAATTTACAAGTTTTTAGTGGATAGAAATCAGCAAGATTCACACGTTTTCAGACCAACAGCTGCCACTATTAGTGAGCAAATAGCTGAGTCTTCTGCACAGTGGCAGCGGCTACCTGTGACTAAGTCAGGTGACAAACCAGAGGTGCCAAGGGACCGGCCACACCAAGAGCCCTGGGATTCCCGCTGTCCGTGGGGCAGCTGCAAGGCAAATCATCGAGAGAGAAAAACTGCAACCCCCAATTGCAGAAATGCTCCTTTCACTGGAGTGCAGATGCTACGTACCGTGCAGAAGAGGATGCCAGGGCCAGCCTGTGCAAACTCGCGGAACACTGCTGTTCTCTCCTGCAAAGACAAGGGAAGCCTCAGCGCTGAGTCAATCCAGCGAGCAGGTGCCCGTGCTCCCGGTCTCCGTCCGCTGGGACTGCATTCAGGCCCAGAACAGAGAGGCTTTGGAGGAAGGGAAGCAACGAGTGCTCACATCTAACAGGCCCAGGACTGCACTCTGGGCTGTGTCAGGAGGGCAGCGCCAGGCGGGCCCATCCTCCAGATCGGCCCCCCGGAGCAGAGACAGTCCACAGGGACACACTTTCCTGCAGGTGGGCGAGAGGAATGATGAACAACCCACCTTTCCTGCAGGGGAATTTTGTTAACGACTGATTTTTTTAAAAAAGGTCAAAAAAATATACACCCCATATATTTTAACTGTAAGACGAAGGAAGAAAACGCAATTTCCCACCGCTCGAAGCACACCACCACCACTGGCAACCCCGTGCCCCGGGCCTGTGCAAAGCATCACCAAGAAGGGGCTCTGGAAAGATGGCCACACGACCTCTACTAGCAACACACTCTTATCAGAAACCAACAGGACATGAACATCTTTCCAAACCACACCCTCTCTCTCGTGACGACACTGTTAGCAACCAGCAGGGTGGGTGTACCACCATTTACCTGGCCGATGCCCTATTGTTGGCCCTGAGGCTGTGGCCGACTGTTCTCCATTATAATCTGTGATAAAATCTTTATTGGCAAGCCCTGTGCACATCACTGTTCCCTTTGGGTGAGTTCCTAAAGGCTTTCCTGTGAACTTGCAAAGCCAGTGGCGCAAGCAGCTGACACGTGGCCATGCCCACCTGTCCGCCACAAAAGAGGGAAGTGACCAAATTACTACAATTTTGGAAAAAAGGATGTCTCTCCCTCCACTTAGGCGCAGCCCTGTCTCCGAGGGGAACCTCACCACCGTCTTTCACATACACGTGTTGTCGCAGAAGTGGGACCCCCCCAGGGACCCCTCGCTTAGGACAGTGGACACGGACAACCAGTGTGCACTGAGCGCAGCCACGTACCAGACGCTGGCCTACGCTTTACACGTCTGCACGAATCCAATCCCCACAGCCCCCCGAGCAGGTACCATTGCCACCCCTTTCCAGGCAGAGAAACCGAGGCTCGGGGGCTGAGGAACTTGCCAAGGACACCCACACACAGCGCGGGGCTGACCGCACGTGGACCCAGGGAGCTGGTCCGGAGCTGAGCTCAGACCCTCCCGAGGACGCCTGCGTTGGTCCGGTTTGCTGCGCAGTCTTTATAAGGGACCATTTAACGGCTGTGGTGTCCAGGCAAATCAGAACAGTTCCTGAAAGCAGGGACACATGTGAAAGCCCATCCGGATGGATCCAGGTCTGGGGAGAGGAGGAAACCTAATTCCTGAGCTTTCATCACAACCACCAGGCAGCAACTCCAAACTTCACTTCTCTCCAATGCCCGTAAACTTGGTTGGGGTCATGACAATCATTTAGGGAGACCACAGGTCATGTGGAACAGTGGCCAGGAATATGTGCTTGGGGCTGTTTTAGCTCAGTCTGGGGTAAGACACTTAACCTCAGTATTCATCAGATAAAATACAGATACTCCCTCCCATCCTCTACTCATGGGTAGGCTGTGAAGGCTACTTAATAAAACAATATAAGTAAAATATTAACAATTACTAAACTGAAGAGCCGAACTATTCCTGAAGGAGAAATAACAATAATAATGGCCCTTAACATTTACTGAGCACTGACTATGAGCCAGGCCTGTGCTAAGCACTTTTATCTGCATTAACTCAATGAACTGTCTCAAGCACACGAAGTAAATACGACTATTGGCTCCATTTTAGAGACATGGAAACTGAGGCACAGAGAGAGTGTCCCGAGGTCACACAGCCAGTGAATAGCAGGGCCAGGACTAGAACCAGGAGTCTGCCTCCAGGGCACACAGCTGGCATTACAACCAGAGCCTGAACACATCTGACTCTGTGTGATCTGCTCAAATTCCCAGATCCTTCCGAGTCCACAGCCAGCTCCTCCGTCACCTCAGACTCCCCTGTAGCACGCCTCTGGTGAAACAGACCCAGAGGACTAGGAAACTAATTTAAAAAAAAAAAGAGAGAGAGAGAAACACCATAAATGGTATTGCATTATGAAATCAACAAATTCGATTGACTCAGGGATCCACAAGGTAAAAAGAAAGAGCTTATAAAATTCACAAAGGCTGAGACAGTCAGGAAATACTATGCTATCTTGTGGCAAATAAGAAGTTGTGTCCTTGAGTGACCTTGAGCAAATTCACTTTTTTGAAGCTCCATTTCCTGAATTATTAAAGCAAAAACAAGAGGGGAAATGGACTTGATGACCTTTAAGGTCTCTTATACTCTAAGAATGTTACCACTTTTAAGTGTGGTTCTAGTCCCAGCGCACCCTCATTTGGGGCCCTCCTTCACTCCTCCTCCTTTCGGAGCTGCCTGGTAACAGCCTCCAGGACAAGATGGCTCCCATCTCAGGCCCTGTGCGTCCCTCCCTGCACGAGGCAGTGACTTCACCCCACTCCACGCTCCGCCCCAACTCTCCATGGACTGTGTTTTGCAGCTTAGAACCTAAAACAAGGCAAACGTTCTACTCTTCTTCCTGAACAAAAACGTTACTCAGAGCCGAGGCAGAGCGAGACACACAGACCCTCTCGCAAGCCGAAGTGCTGAGAGAGCGCTGCATCTTGTTGACAACGACAGCAGTCACGCTCAGCAGTACCATATGGGAGCCACAATTTAGCTCCATTAATGCTCTTAATTTGAAGACATCAAGCCCTAATTACACACTGGGTACTAAAAAGGCAAAACCCTTCCCTAGTGCCAGCTACTTAGTGGTGCTCTGTTGCCTTAACAGCTGGTTGAGGTAGATGCAGGCCAAGGGCCTGCGAGCTCTCAGGTGGACGAGCCCAGCTCCAGAGCAGGTGGGCGGAACAATAGGCTCCGCTCGCCCACATCACGGGCAGGGCGGTCGCGTCCAGTTCCTGTGCGCCACCCTCCTCAGGGGACACCTGCCCGAGCCCAGCGAGAGCCAGTGCTGACCCTGGAGGGCGCGATCAGTTGGATGGGCCCCGGGCTTGCTCACCTCCTGGTCCATGTTGCCATGCAGCCGCAGGAATGTTAATCGCGGGCCGCCAGATGGTAACTGCCCTGACGCCGCGCCGCCCAGCAGGGTCTGGAAGAAGAGGTGGTAGTGGAACTCCACCAGCTCGCAACTCGAGAAAAAGACGATCAGCTTCTGGTCAGTTTCAAACTACATGGACACAGAGGGGAAACCACCACAGAGTTATGAGGTGACACTACAACGGGGATCTTTCTAAAATACAGTCACACTGGCCCTGTTTGGAAAGAGATGACAGACGGCTTGGAGTTACTTGCAAAATTAACACGGATGCTCCCTGCTCCCAGACTGCAGGAGAGGGAGCTGACAGCCATGACCTTGATCACGCTCCCACACCTGAGCAGAGCATGCTTCAGGGTGAGGCTGCACATCAGCGCTGTTCTTCGTCCTCTCAGGCCTCAGCACACACGCCACGTGCAGTGCATCTAGAAGCTTCACTCTCAAGCCTTCCACCTACTGCTTCCCCATGTCCCAGAGAAAGTGCTGCCGAAACTAGTAATAAATACGCAAATACCGGGTGTCTTTTAAAAACACAAGCACAGGCCCCTAGCTGTCTCACACCCAGCATGCTCCTGCCACCTCTGCTGTTCCCAACATCAGTCCCAGGAAAGATACTTAGGGCAGATTTCAGGTTGAACATAATGGCTATCACTGACCTCCGAGCTTTCCCACAATCCTAGAACACTACATCCACCAGCAGTTAGGCCAGAAAACCGCGTCTCAACCCGCTGCCAGCAATGCCGGATACAAACGACACAGGCCTCCCCGCGATGGAGCTGACCGGGCCCGTCCTACCTTGCACTTCTGCAGGATGAAGGCTGCCAGGCAGACCAGCCTCAGCTTGCTGGGAACCAAGACCACGTACTGCTCAAGACCCTCCGGAATTGCAAAGCCGTCCAGCTCATCATCATCATCATCATCATCATCGTCATCGTCATCATCATAGTCGTCGTCACTTAGTGAGTCAGAGTCGTCAGAAGACTCTTCATCTGTCAGGTAAGGCTGACCAAAGCTATTCTCCAGGACAGAAATGCTGACTGGGTTGTGTAAACTGATGTCAGCGAGCCGTGTCACACCTGGGAGAAAGTGAAAAAGTCAAAACAGGGGACAGCACACGCTGTGGAACTGGTCCCTATGCACGCCCGGCACACCGCACATTCAGGCAACTAGGCAACTCCTGGCGGGTTTCACCAAGGGCCGTGCTGATCTGCCCAACTGTCTATCTGGTGTGTGGACCCCCGGATTTCTTCCCACAGCCCAACAACCCCTCACACCAGCCTTTCTAAGCTCGCACCTGTGGGAAACCACGGAAAGGGACATTAACAGGGGTCTACCCCCCACCCCCCAAAGGGTTCTGTGATCAAGTTATGAAAACCCGGATAAAAAGGTCCCACAAATTCTTCCATAGGTTTTGCAGGCCTTCTCAGGACCTTTACTGTGTGAAGGCGCACCACGCATCTCCAAGAGGAGGTCATGTGTGGCATTTCCCAAACTTTTTGAGCACAGGATCCCTTTTCCATGGATTATCTCTGAAAATTAATGTTCTCGGGAATACACTCAGAAGTGCTGATGAGGCGTACTGGTGGCAGCTGGTGTGCCGAGTGAAGCAGACACCAGACACAGAAGCTGTCCTGTCGCCGAGACAGGGCCTGCTGCGGGGCCGGTGCAGAGCGCTGCCGCTTGGCCACGCAGCGTCCCATCTACGAAAGGCAGTAAGAAGCTCCATCTCACGAGGATGAAAAACAGAAACGAGCTTAAAGGACAGGAGTGCTTTCAGGTCCACCGCCTCTTCAGGAGAAAGGCAGGCTGATCGCAGTAACAACGCGCGTGGTGAGAGGCCGTCCTTGTCCGGACCAGAGCCCTGCCCTCCGAGGGTCATGGCCGCAGTGAAAGGCTCACGCAGGCATAGGTGGTGGCCGCCAGCCTTCCCCGTCCTCCCCACCTGCAGGAGCCCCTGCAGCACGTCCCAACTGCGGGCCCTCTCCCCGTGCCCCGGGGGCGCCCTGAGGCTCCTCCCCGGCCTGAGGCTGAGGGCCGCGCCGGCACACAGGCCCCTGGCAGCGGCATCCATTCTCTTCGCTCACCTTCCGTGAGAGTGGCCGACAGCAAGACGTTCTGTCGTTCCTGGCACTCTGCGTTGATCGCGTTGAGTATCACCGTGATAGTCTTTTCGAAGCCCAGATCCAAGATTCTGCGGTTTCAGAAGAAAGTTAAATCTAATGCAGACGGCATGTAACCCAGGCTGCAGTCAGATGGACACAGACACAGCCTTCCCCGTGCCTTTCCTGCTTCCAGATCAGCCTCACCTGTCGGCTTCATCCAGAACCAGCCAGCGGATGCGGTTGAAATGAATGTTCTTTGTGGATTTTATATGATCCACCAGACGTCCAGGAGTGGAGATGAGGATATTGATTCCTTTGCGGAGCCTGTTAAAAATTACAAACCATAAGAGACAGTAAATCACACTGGGCTGTATCCGTGGAAGACACAGGAAAAAGGCGAACGAGACAGATCCGTGTCTAGCAGCATGTGCCACAGCTTGAATCATGACAAACATGATGACAAGTGGATACAAAGATCAGAGTTTTCATTTTTCTCTGAAGTTTCTCTCCTATAGGACAGAATTGTTAAGATCTGCAATTACGTTAAAATCATAAAACCTTAACTTTGAAAGGATCTTGACTATGTAATCCGATGCCTTTTACCTGTCCATGGGTCCCTTCTAGCACATTCCAGACACATGGTTGTCTAGCCTGTTCCCGAGGCTTCTTTGCCAGGGAACCTCATAGCTGAATCAGTTATCCCAGAATGTTTTCTTATACTGAACCTTTGCTGCGACTTCCATGTAACAGGCCTAGCTCTGCCCCCATAGACTAGGTAGAATAAATCTAATTTATGACTCCCCAAACATCCTTCACCCATTAGCCTGGTAATAAAAGCCTCCAGTTTCTAGCTGAGTATGTTTTCTAGCTTCCCCTGCAGGTAAGCATGATCCCAGCCTACGCTCTAGAACAAGACAGGAGGACAGAGAGACACAAACGCCACGAGCCCCTAAGAGGGAGGGTCTGATGATCTTGCTCCTGCTGTAGGACTTAGCTGTGAGGGCGGGATCGCTACTGTGAGGTGATCTTGGAAATGGAAGCCTCATGTCATGGCACAAAAAGAGGAGGAGCCTGAGTCCCAACACTGGAGCACATGTCGGTCTTGGCCGAGCTGCCGTCAGGCTTAACTATTTGTGAAAGAAAAACACACCTTCCACCGCGCTGGTGGCACCGCTGTTTGCTGTTCGCTGCCATTGTTACTCACAGCTGAAAGCAAGCCTCGCCAATATTTTTACATTTCCACATTAATATTTACTCCTCAGGAATAGGCCACACACATAGTTGGGTGTTACTACTAAGCACTACCCTAAAATACAATAAGTTGTTTTTAAAGAATGCAGACAATTTGGAATTTACTTGTCCCAACAATTTTCTACTGACATAATGACCAGTTCTAACACAGAATTAGGAATCAATGTTTTGGGGTGTAATAAGCAAGGTGCAAAGCAGTATGTAAGCTTATGATCTTGTTTTATAAAAAACAAACAAACAAAAAACACCCAAACTCCCAATGTACCCACACAGACTGTCACTGAGGTGCAATGAATAAGGGGGAATGCGGGGACCGGGTGGGTGGAGTTAAGAAGGTCATGATCACATGTAACATTATTATATTTAAAATCATTTTCTTGAAATACTAATGTTTATTGCATGTAACATTATTAAAAAAAGAAGAAGGTCATGACCAGATCAGAAGGGAACCCCACAGGTTCATGACTATCTTAAAACCAGCCCTGTCTAAAGGTGACTGCTCCCTGCTGACTCCGTCTTTCCCTGCACATGGGGCCAGGTTTAGAAGGACTGAGTCTCACTGAATAGGAAGGCAGAACAGACAGATTAAAAAAGGAATTAAACCTCCCCTACCTGGCTTTTTCAGACTTTCTCTTCTCTCCTCCCATTAACACTCCAGGCACAATCCAGGTAAATGGCTACAGAAAGACATCAGACCAGAATCAATGCATAGCCCGTTTCCTACAAACAGAGACAGATCTATCCTCCTTCTCCTCAAAGGCATCGGGAGGGGGCCCAGCCCGTGTGGCTCAGTGGTTGAGCATCGACCCATGAACCAGGAGGTCAGTGTTCAATTCCTGGTCAGAGCACAAGCCCAGGTTGCGGGCTCGATTCCCAGTAGTGGGCAGGAGGCAAACTATCAATGATTTTCCCTTTCCCCTTTGAAATCAATAAAAAATCTATTAAAAAATAATAGTAAGGGCCCTAGCCGGTTTGCTCAGTGGATAGAGCGTCGGCCTATGGACTGAAGGGTCCCGGGTTCAATTCCGATCTAGGGCACATGCCCAGGTTGCGGGCTTGACCCCCAGTAGGGGTGTGCAAGAGGCAGCTGATCAGTGATTCTCTTTCACCATTGATGTTTCTATCTCCCTCCCCCTTCCTCTCTGAAATCAATAAAAATTTTAAAAAGGAATTGGGAGCGGGGTCGGGCTTCGCAGGTAAGAGGTGTTACTGTGTAGACAGGACTGTTAGCACTGCCCTACCAGGTCACTGTCAGCAACAGCCAGATTTAAGGCTGTGTGACCTCCTCCCAACACAGACAGAAACGGGAGCTCTGGAAATGATTCCAGTGATTCCCTGCCTTGCTCCATGGAGCCTGAATGAAGCACACATCTCAGTGAGGTGTGTGATCTTTGGGGCTAAAATGAAACCTAGGCACAACCCCCCACCCCGATGAAGGACGGACAGGGCAATTCTCAGCCAAATCGGGTGGGCTGGCCGGCTTGGCCTGGGAGCCTCTCTCGTTCTTAAACAAACCCACGTGCAGCCTCTCAAGTGGCTTTGCACTGGACCATCTCAAGGTTGCGATACCTGTGAATGTCTGTGGCTTGCTAGTGCCTATGATAAATGACAGAACTTTAAGCTCCAGGAAACACTAGTACTCTTGCTCAGCTAAAAGCAGGTCGTTAGTGAGGATTAGACCAGTGGAAGCCTCCACGCTATTCCTGGGCGGAGCAGACATCCGGCGGAGGGAAGAGACTAACTGCGAGCTCTCTGAGGACAAAGCAAAGGCTGCGGCATATTTCTCTTTCCTCTAAAAGTCAAGAAAAAAAGGTAAAGCTGAAGTCCCGGCGTGCCTTACCTTGAGCAGTTTCTGGAAAGTGTCAAAGCTTTGTAACGCCAGCTGTAAATATGAAGAAGTTATAATGAGCAAGGCATCTTCTTCCTTTTTGAGAAATTTAGACGATGTACCAGTAGAGTGATTCGTATCCAAACTTGGACTTCAAGTTATGATTCAAGAAAAAAATTAACCCTAGCACAGAATCGACTGGAAACATATACCTTGTGTGAGACTGACTGTGAGAGCTGTCAGTTTGCAGGGTGGGCAGACACAGCACATCTATTTCTTGGATGGACAGACAGTGCCGCGTGCTCCCTCTGCTGGCTCTAATCCCCAGAGCGCACAGCGCAGCACAAGGGAAAGGGAAGGCGCCGACCTGGACTCGGCTCCTTAGAAAGAGGTGTAAGCACACGAAGGGGGAATGGAGCAGTGATGCCGCAGCCTGGCCTTCGGGGCTGTAAGGGTGATGTGACTGTATCCAGGAACATGCCAGGGCCAGCAGCTGAGGACCCAGAGATGTATAAAGGAAAGAAAACCAACAAGCCCTGCGGCATCGAATGAAAATGAATGAGGTTCCATAAAACCTGCCCATAATCCCTTTGTCCAAAGATATAGTTCCCACGTGTTCAGGATTCACGAAGCGTCCTAGGAAACAGCCAGTTCGCTGTGGTCAAAATTTAAATAGCCTCACGCCCGCTCCTCCATTGGACGGAGCGGACCGGGCTCTGCAGGATGTGAGGGGAGTGGACCCTCCATCGCCATGAGCAAGTCTCTGCAGGGAAATGGTTACATCTGACAGAGAAAATATACCTTCATCGGAAATTGCCTCCCAGGCAAATAAAATATACCAGACAAAAGAGATTTCCACCAAGGAAGACGACAAATACCAGGAAGCTTAACTTTTAGGAACATTTGTTGGCACGGTAGCTTGCTTTCTTTTTTTTTTTAAAGTTCATTTTCAGGGCCGATTGCTTTTATTTTTTAATGAAGTTGGGGGTGTACAAAAATGAGATTATTTAAGTTTCTTTTAAAAGGATAGAAATTTATAGTGTGATCAGTGTTTAGATGACAAGGAAATGTGATTTTTCAGAGAAGCTGAATTTCTCTGGTTGAGGACCAGAGGTTGGTCCCCGAGCAAAGGAAAGGGCAATGTAAAGTGATCTGTAGCCAAACACGGCCTCAAGTTAAGGTTGGCGCGGTGGAGAGGAAAACGGTGACTCCACTTACAAATCCCACAGGACGTCACTGACAACACTCATCCGCACGTGAGACCGCTTACCTCTCTCGTCGGCACCAGCACCAGCGCGTAGGGGCCGTCACCGCGCTGGGGACAGAGAAGGAAAGAAATGCTCTGAATGAAGGTCCTAAGCACCCAGACACCAGGACCTAAGAGTGGCCACTGGTCACACATCACTAGCCGTCTCGGCCAAGAACAGGGACAAGCCCTGGCGGCCGGCCGGCTGGAGCATCATCCTGTACACACAAAGGCTGCAAGTTTGCTCCCATCGAGGTGCATATGGGAGGTAACCAATCGATGTTTCTCTCTCCCTTCCTCTATGAAAATCAGTAAAAACATACCCTCAGGTAAAGATTAAGAAAAAGGACAAGGGTGCCCACCTCCTTCATTATCATGGAACACTGTTCTAGAGGCTCTGACCCATGCAATCAGACAAGAGAAAGAATGTCTAAAAATCTGGAAAGTAGGAAGTAAAACTGTCATTATCAGCAAATATTTTATCCTAAAAAAAAATCACTTTGAAGCTCTATTACAAAAAAGACAAGTCAACTAGCTGAATGCAAAATTAATATATACATATATATATAAATAAACTGCTTTTAACAGAAAATGAGGAAATCCAAAGGAGAAAAAAATCAGTTATAATAGCAACAAAAAAGATAAACGTAACAGAATATATAAAATCTACATAATGAGAATTTTAAAATACCTCCGAGGAGCATAAAATAAAACCTGAATAAATGGAAAGGTGTATCTTGTTCTTGGATAATATTATATGTAAGCGAATTCTTCCTAATCAATCCATAAATGTAATGCAATCTTTTTTAAAAAAATATATTTTATTGATTTTTTACAGAGAAGAAGGAAGAGAGATAGAGAGTTAGAAACATCGATGAGAGAGAAACATCGATCAGCCGCCTCCTGCACATCTTCTACTGGGGATGTGCCGGCAACCCAGGTACATGCCCTTGACCGGAATCGAACCTGGGACCCTTCAGTCCGCAGGGCGATGGTCTATCCACTGAGCCAAACCGGTTTTGGCAATGTAATGCAATCTTAATAAAAATGCATATGGGCATTTATATGCACATATAAAATAATAAATGACACCAAACAAGCTGATTTCAAGTTCATATAAAAAAATGTTTAAGAATAACCAAAACATTTCTGAAAAACATCAGATATTTAAACAATTTAAATCTACAGTAGTTTTGAAAAATTGACACTGATATATAGAGATTTACAACAGCAACTAGGGTCTAGAGTAGACTCAAATACATGGAGAAATTTAGGAAATACGGAGCATTTTATATCAGGGAAAGAATGGATTATTCAAAGGTCATTTTAGAAAAAATTTTAGAAAAAATTAAGTTGGAATTAAGTTGGCCTTTTTATAGATGACATAAAACTCAGAAACTATAAAACACCGATAAATTTTATCACATAAAAATTTAAAATTTCACCCTAGCTGGTTTGGCTCAGTGGATAGAGCGTCGGCCTGCAGACTGAAGGGTCCCAGGTTCGATTCGGGTCATGGGCAAGTACCTTGGTTGCAGGCACATCCCCAGTAGGGGGCGTGCAGAACATCCCTCTCATCTATGTTTCTAACTCTCTATCCCTCTCCCTTCCTCTCTGTAAAAAAATCAATTAAAAAAAATTAAAAATTTCAAAATAAAAAAATAATACCCAAACAAAATCAAGAGTCAAATAACAATGTGGGGAAAAATTACCCTACACATAAGAGAAAGGCCAATTTCCCTATCTTATAAGGAAGGTCTGTAATTCAACTAAAAATAAAAACATAAACGAAAACTCAAACAGAAAAATGGAGGCGGACATAATAAGTTAATTTATGGAAATAATTCAAAATATGGCTTTTACACATATGAAAAGATGTTCAACTTTACTCCTAGGAGAAATTCAAATTGAAACTATAATACAGTATTTTTCCCCCGTCAAATGAGCAAAATTAAACAGCTGATAGTGTGGATAAGGGCATGGGCAAATAGGAACTCTTGTACAATGTTGGTGAGAGTGCAAATTGGTATAACTCCTTTAAAGGTCAATTTTGACATTATCTAGCAAATAAAAATGCAAATTCCACTTATGGGAATTTCTCTAAAAGATACACTGGTACCTGTACATAAACTTGTATTTTCCAGAATGTAGAGTATTTATAATAGCCCTGTTTGTAGTAAAATACTGAACAAAATGTACATCCCACCAATGAAGGAATGACTCAATAATTTACTGTACATACAGACAGTGGAATACGAGGCAGCCCTTTAAACACAAGGCTTATTCAACAGATAAGAAACTATCCCCCAAACACATGAAGTGAACAAAAGCAAAGCACAGGACAGCATGCATAACAAGCCACCGTTTGTGTATCAAACAGACAAATGCTTCAATTAAAGAAGCAAGAGGACCTGTACATGTGCACATTTGCTTTATAGGCAGGGGATACCCTAAGAGGACATGCTCTTAAGAGACTGGTGACAAGGACCACTGCATCCTGACAGAACGTCGCATTCAGAGAAGGCAGGGGAGGGAATGACTTGATTTTCACTCTCAATTTTTTGGGTACTGTTTACATTTATTTGCCATATACATTATATCCAAAAGTAATAGTAGTAATAATAATAACAATACAAGAAGAAAACGAAGTAATCTGATAAAGGCCCCGAAAGCAACGGTGCCTTGCACCTCGAAAGTGCTCACAGACAGGGATTGGATCAAAACAATGAGAGCAGCAGCTAAGTGCAGACTTAGCCGCAAATTCAATCACAAGCATGGTTTTCATGTTTTGCATAGGAGACATTTACCCACAAGGAGAAAAGGATTTGGAATTCAAACTAGAGCCGCCTGTACTCAACATCAACTTGGCGAGCCTGCGCTGAAGCTGGGCGAGGAACGGTAAACATGTTAGTACAACGGTAGCGACGTGCCGCAGTGTGATGGTAGGAGATTCTGACATTTCAAAAGGTGTTACTACACAGATGGAAAGAAAGAAAAAGCAATTCCTCACAGAGCAGAAGTGAGTGAAGAGGATGGATGTGATGTCAGAAGAATCAGAGCCAAAAGGACTGAGCGAGTGTGCACAGCAGAGCAGCCCTTTCCCGTTTCATTCCCCAAGTAATTGAAGACTCCGTCTGGGGCCTTGAATTTGCTGCTCCCTCCACATATGATTTTTACAGGTCAAATCATTTTACAATGAACTCCAAGGGTCTATATGAGTATTACTTGAAATCAGTGAGTTAAATTTGGGCTTGGAAAACTCTCTCTACAGAATACTTGTCTTGAATAGGATGAGTTGTGAGTGATATTAAAAATAGTTGAGCAAATTAAAAGCAACTGCCTGGCTTGTTAATGGTTCTGAATATAAGTGAATCAAACCATTGCCCTTTAAACAGCCCTGGGAGCGTGTTGATGATGATGACAGCTCCCACAATGAGCAGGTGGTTCCCAGGTGACAGGCACCATTCTCAACCCTCCACGTGCACCCAGCTGACTTGCTCCTCACCCCAGGAGAGAGGCACTGCAGTCGCCATGGCACCGGTGAAGTCAGTGAGGCACAGAGGGTGAAATGGTCTGCCTAGAGTCACGCTCAGACTGGAGCACAGCTGCCCACCACACGGGCTCCCCGGTGTGTAATCTAACCTCCCCTGTCCTCAGTCACCATCTATGAGACCAGACAGGTGGGCTAGGACTGCAGGACCCACCCCACTCCAATACCCCCCAACTCCCCAACTCTGAATGAACTAACACCCTGCCCTGGCATTTCTGGAGCCTATCAGTGGGGGAGGCTCCACCGCACTGTCGTGATGACCTGCTTCTCCTCTATGTTCCCCGTGCAACGCTAAGGAGCCCTGTGGGACTCTCTCACCGAGTGCCATGGGAAGGAAAAGGCAGTCACCGCAGGAATTAAAAATCTCTCTTACCACTTCAGAGAAAACTAGCATTAATCGTCTGATAGGTATCTTTCTCATCTTTTTTATATACACACAGATTTTATCATCATTGACGAAGTTGGAGTCATACTCTATGTGCCGGATTGTAACCTGCCTTATTTCAATTACATGGCAAGAACACAAGTTCACAAATAATACTTGAAAAAAAAATAGCACTTTTACTGGCTCTAGAAGGTTCCATAATTTGGATGATTGTGTATGACTTCTGTTTTATTCATTTACAATAATTTACATAGAGTTTAAATAAAATTTAAACTGACTCATTTTGAAATAATTTCAGATTTACAAAACAATGCACAGCCCTGGCCAGGTAGCTCAGTTGGTTAGAGCATCATCCCAATACACCAAGGTTGCAGGTTCAATCCCCAGTCAGGGCACATACAGGAATCAACCAATGAATGCATAAGTAAGTGGGACAACAAATCAATGTTTCTCTCTCTCTCTAAAATCAATCAATCAACCAATAAAAATTGCAAAAGTAGTACAAAGAACTCCCTGAAACCCTTCTCCCCGCTGCCTCATATGGTATGGATTCTCAAAATCACAGGACAATGATCAGAACCAGGAAATGAACACTGATTAAACACTATTAACTAACCCATAGGCCTCATTCAAATCCCAGGAACTGACCTACCACCGTCCTTTCCCCAGACCAGGACCCAGCTCAGACCAGACCTGCATTGAGCTGTCACATCTCCTTTGTTTCTTACTCTGGGTCGTTTTGTGGTATCTCTTTGTCTTTTGTGACCTTAATACTTTTGAACAAGAGTACCGGCCAGCTGTTTTGTAGAATATCCTTCGATTTGGGTTTGGCTGATGTTTGCTTATGATTAAACTCAGGTTATGTGTTTTGGGCAAGAAAACTACAGAAGTGGAGCCGCGTCCTCCAGACTCGCAGCACACAGGCCCGTGAGGCCCACGTCCTAGCGCCGGTGACGCCAGCTGATGGCTTGGTTAGGAGGCAGCCGGGCTTCCCGCTGGAAGGTTAGTTTCCCTTTGTGACTAAGAGCGCCTTGTGGGGAGCTGCTCTGAAACTATGTAAACAGCCCATTTCATCACTTCCACCCCCTCACGTTAGCATCTGTGACGATCCTGCCAAAGGCTGCTGCTCTATTTCCATCTCTCGTTCTACATTTTCCTTCGCATTTCTACCATGAGGAAGGGCTTTCCCTTCCACCACTTATTTATTTACTCAGTCATTTCTTCTTATCAGTTTGGACTCATGGAATTTGTTTAAGTTTATGGGCTATAATCCAACACTCTCATTATTTATCTTGGCACTTAACTATCAGATGGGCTCGATACACATCTAATCCTGCATGTCCAAACCGAGAAAAAAGGAACCAATTAGCTCTTATCTGACTCCTATTTCTGACCTCGCTGTTTCCTCTAGAGAAGAAGCAGGGCTGTATTTGTGGGATTCTGGGCCGGGTTTTGAGATGACACCTATGTCTGTGGAAGGTGGCGGTTCACTGGCTTCCCAGGGAACACCAAGGACCCAATTGTGGCCCAGGCACTAACTGTTTCACAACTGAAGGAAGCTTCTAGAACATGCTCAACACCAGGCGGCCCATTGTCAAACTCACTAATTGGGTGCTTATTTCCACATCTACTATTCATGACAAACCACATTTACATACAACGTTCACCTTTCTTAGGCAGAAGAGCTTGTCTCTGGAGCCACAGAGAACTGAGGTGGGAATGCAGTGCCCCATTACTCGCCACATGGTCTGGGTAAGTTACTGAACTTCCCCAAGCCTCCATTTTTCATGTAAACCTGGGGGAACAGTAATACTGACAACTCGGTGGGGCCAAGGCAGCTAAAGATTCAAGATCACACAGGCAAGGCATCTGCCAGCACGTCTGACATCCGGGAGCACCTGACACATGTCCTGTAAGACCTACTATGACGGTGGTGAGTCCCTTTACTCTGCTGCATGCTGGGCAGCCCTCGGAGGCAGCGCGCTGTGTGAGAAATGGAGTAAGAGGCAAGGAAACAATGCGAAGGGAGGGCAGAGTCTTTCGGTCCCAGTACCACTGCCGTGCTTCCGCCTGATGGTTCCCATCGCTATGAACAACAGTGGAGAAGCAACGACACTCACCTGTATTTTCGTTTTCATTGCTTGGAGGGACTGGACCACAGGGATGCAATAGGCAAGAGTTTTACCTTTTAAAAAAGTAGAAAAGCAATTAAAACCAGAGCCCCTGTGGATGACAGTAAGGAAAGCAGCCCTGCTCTCCGCGGGCAGCCCTGAATCTGGGGAAAGGGAAGAGCAAGCCCACGGCCAAGAGGCAGAAACGGAGCCCACTGTCTCACACTCCTCTGTACACTCGGTCCTCCTACAAAACTGCAGCTGCAGCTCCAGCTCCTTCCTCCCTCTAACGCAGCGGTTCTCAACCTGTGGGTCGCAACCCCTTTGGGGGTCGAACGACCCTTTCACAGGGGTCGCCTAAGACCATCGGAAAACACATATATAATTACATATTGTTTTTGTGATTAATCACTATGCTTTAATTATGTTCAACTTGTAACAATGAAAATGCATATCAGATATTTACATGACGATTCGTAACAGTAGCAAAATTACAGTTATGAAGTAGCAACGAAAATAATGTTATGGTCGGGGGTCACCACAACATGAGGAACTGTATTAAAGGGTCACGGCATTAGGAAGGTTGAGAACCACTGCTCTAACGGGACTCGGTGATACATTCCCTAAACTACACACAAGCTTGAGGGCTGTCTCAGAAGCTAGACAGCTCCTCCTCTGCAGTGTCTAACCTCTCGAATGCGCTAGCTCCGTGGCCAGTAAAGTCCTCTGTGGTGCTAGAGTGGGAGGGGCCAGGCGAGCCTCAGCCGCTAAAAACTGGGAGAAACCCAGGATGGCGACAATTTGGGGTTTCCTCCCCCCTGAATGACGGCTGAGGTGGGGGGAGTGGAGAAGAGCTGATGAAGGGCACAAGAGGGTCAGAAGAACATGCCTGGGCTGTTCCGGAACATGCCAAAGCAGGTTCCATGTCTGAGCAACCGACTGCATCCAAGCAGTGTGTGCTCGGGTCAGAACTCTGTTTAATAGCAGAAGAAAATACGCATCGCCAATGGAGTAGGATGGGCAGCTCTGGCACAGATGGGGGACTTGGCCCAGCCCTGAGTCAGGCTCTGAGGAACGAGAGCAGAACTGGACTCGCACGGCTCTGTCCATTGTCCCCTTCCTATCACTACGTGAATTAATCCAGGGCTCTGATCGAAAGCATGGCCTCCCCTTCCCCAAACACAACAAAGCAGCCACTAGCACGAGCCGACACTTCTCTGTATAACCCAGGCCAGGACTGCGGCTGGGCTTCTGGGGGGAGGGCAGAAGTTAAATGACGGCTGACCTGAGCCCGTCTGGGATCTCACGAGAGCATCTCTGCCTTCCAGCAGCGCAGGAATGCTTTGCTTCTGGACACTTGGGCCACCCAAAAGAAAGAACATGGTTAGCCACACACATCACCCACGTGCGTTTACAGGCAGACATGCAGGACACACCAAAGGCAACTGCCCATGCGCTGCTCTACCGGCTGCCTCCTTAGAAGTTACCGAAACAGTCAAGTGAAGATGCTGAGACACTTCTGATGAGCAGGAGAATAAAACCCTCAGCTAAGGTTCTGGAACTTAGCTGAAATGCTGAGGCAAGCCAGAGTGGCCATCCCATCATACCAGCTAAGAACAAAAACGGGACGGCATGACGACAGCCTGGCGCTGGTGAAAGCATCTGCCACGCCCTCTTGCCTCTGGAAGAGGGAACACGAAAGGCGGCAACACAGTAGGGGGAGATCCCCGCACAGAGGAGTAAAGGAAGCTGTGAGCCCCCGACAGCCAGGAACTGCTTCACGCTGCAGAAAACCAGGACATAACTGCAGGGACACACGGGGCAGTGTCCACGTGCGCATTGAAACATCAGCAACCGAAAGGGGAGAGGAACCATTTAAGTGGATCGACAAAGCTGAACAAATGGTGAGGGGGCTTCCTTTATTCTTAACATTCCTATTTTTACCTATAGAAGCACACACACTCAGAGAGGACTCTCGCCTCCGGGAGTCTTCATTAGTCACAAACATTTTTTAAGTTTTTCGTATCCCATTACACCCAACCACATATTCACGTCTGTCTTTTAGGTCCACTATATCCTACTACTAAGAAACTGCACGAGACATTCTGTATTTTTAACAAATTACTTTCAGAGAAGCACGAACAACAGTGAGGTCTTATGCAGACCATCTTCCAGGCCAGAGACCTACAGTTTAGAGGTGAGGGTTTCCCCATTTGGCAGGTGGAGAAACCGAGGGGCTGAGGGACAGGCTGAGCCCTCAACAGCCAACAACCTGGCGTTGTTCTCTAACACCAACACACACACTGGCTCAGTCCTCCACAGACAATTCAGATTCCATACAATTTTACCCACTTAAGTCCTAAGAACATCAGGCTTCGCCTGGAACTCTTACCTGGTCATATGAAATATGTTCAAGACTGTATTTAGTGTGGAAATCTGAAAAAGAAAAAAAATATATATCTATATATTCTTTAACTATCAAATTTTTAGTATAAATTTATACAAAATATAAATATATTTATATTTGCAAATAAGGATGCAAAAAAAACAACAACCCAAAAAACCCCACCACAGATGAAACTGGTTACCATGGTGCTCAGCAGGGGGTGGTTCTGCCCAATGAGGCAACCCCTGGAGAAATCTCTGGTTGTTAAAACTGTGGGAGGGGCGCTACCGGCATCAAGTGAGCAGGGGCTCGGGATGCCGCTCAACACCCTACAATGAGCTACCACCCCAATGTGTGCACCGCAGCAAGGCTGAGGAACCCTGCTCAGACCTGTGGGTGAGCAAACGGGCTGTGTAACCCACCCTGAAGGAGGAGGTAAGCCAGGACCATGCGAGCAAAGGGAATCCCTAACGTTCATGGATTTCCTCTCCTTTCTCATAAAGCATGGCAAACGCAGTCATGGGAAAGAAAAAAGGGTTCATTTGTTTATAGAAAATGCACATTAAAATAGTCTTTCTCCTTCGATTCTTTATAACCACAGACGTTCCTTAGCAGCAAGATGCAGCTCAGTCCGCCCTTATGGCCACTGTGACATCTGCGCCCAGAACGCCTCAAAGTCACATCTACCCAGTAATGAGGAGGCTGAGTTAAAGCCCTGTAAGTGGATCTCAGTCCTAAACTGAATTAGGGAGGGAACGGATGAGGGGGATGAGGACATAGTGAACGACTAAGCTTGCTGCTCGCCACACTGCCCTGGAAGAGTGCTTATCGATCTGAGCTCACACAGGTGACTGGGAGCAGAACCCCTGAGCGGGGATTTCTCCCTAGACTGTCCTTTCAGACGTTCTGAATGAATAAGTCCACCAAGCCAGTGACCCCCTGAACCACAGAGAGGAACTTACCAAGTGTGGGTGGAGGTCCAGCTCATGAAAAGCATCTGAAGAAAACACCTTTTCTTGCACCTGCTTGACCTCAGGTCTGCAAACGATGAACAAAATCGGGCGTGAGTTCCCACAAACAAAGAAAAAGGCAGGGTCCACCAGCCCTTTCTGCCCGAGGTGCGCTGCCCTGGGCGTACCTGGGGAGCTCCGGAATCTCAGGGTTGTTTTTAAACAACGATGAAGTCTTCACGCCCGGCTTCTGCTCTTGGCTTTTCTCACTCGCACCAGCCAAAGCCTTCTTCCGAGAAAACACCTTCTGCGCCTTCCCCTTCAGGCCCCTCTGCGCTGGCTTAGCAGCGGTTTTCTTGGCGGGGAGAGAGGACGCCGCATTCCCCCGTTTGGCTGGGGCAGTCTCATTGGACGCTTGGCGTTTCCTTTTGGTGGCCTGTGCTCGCTGTGCCATTCCCCAAAGGAAAGAGCAGCGAGAGGTGCATTAGTCCATGAAGACAGACCTCAGAGTGAAGCGTCACTGCCCACGGAATGGCATCTCCCGCAGAGATCACTAGGCCCATATGTCAAGCAACAGTTTAGGGCCTGCCGTCACGCTCTCTGACTCGGCTTTTTTCCTCCAAAAGCAAAACCCCACAGAAGCTCAACTCACTCATCTATGAGACCTCACCATCCATCGTCACTACCAACTCAGCCAAGATGAGGGGGAGGAGCAGGAGGGAGAAGCATTTTCCGGGCTCAATATTAACCAGCGAGTTTGTTTTCAGAGAAGTCTGGCTGCTAAGTCGGTCCATATCGCTAGGGACCCACTACATGAGAATCGGGGTGGGAGAGAATAAATCTTTTCTCTCTACCAACAAAGCCCGGGGTGACTATGCTGCGTCCCAGCTCATGCCCAGGGAGCAGAAACCTCCATCACTGCTGCCCCAGAGCGCCTGGATCACCACCATCCTCCCCTCGAGCTTCGCCCCAGATTCAGATGGTGTGGAGACAATTCCTACTCGCAGTTTCCATTCCAAACGGGAATCCTGTTCCAGCCATCACTCCTCCCACAATTCTTCCAACTCCCCTCGCCCTTCAGTTCCCCACCTGATCACCGACTCCAGGCTACATCGCCAGGTTATTTTCTTGCCTGTTGGTTCTTATTTCCATACCATGAATGTGATTGAGTACACACTGTCCAACTACCCCCAGGAGGAGAAACATCCAATCCCTCCATTTTCTTTGGCCTTCCCTTCCAATTCACACAGGAAAAGAAAAACATTGTGTGAGTAGCCAGTGCCTGCTACTCTGGAGCTTTGGTTTCCCTGGGAATGTTATTTTCCTCTTAGCTTGAAATGATGACTTTCATGTACGCACCAGCTGGTTTTATTTTTAGTTTTAAAATATATTTTATTGACTTCAGAGAGGAAGGAAGAAAAAGAGAGACAGAAACATCAATGATGAGAGAGAATCCTCGATAGGCTGCCTCCTGCATGCCCTTACTGGGGATCGAGCCCGAAACCTGGGCATGTGCCTTAGACCGGAATCAAACCCGGGACCCTTCAGTCCACAGGCCGATGCTCTATCCACTGAGCCAAACCGGCTAGGACCCTTATTTATATATATGTGTGTGTGTGTGTGTGTGTGTGTATGTGTATATATATATATTTATTTGTATTGACTGCAGAGAGAGGAAGGGAAAGGGAGAATCATTGATAGTCTGCCTCCTGCCCCCTACTGGGGATCGAGCCCACAACCCTGGCATGTGCCCTGACCAGGAATTGAACCACGACCTCCTGGTTCATAGGTCGATGCTCAACCACTGAGCCACACCAGCTGGGCACACACCAGCTTGTTTTAACCATGACAATTTGCTTCAGACTAAACTACCAATAATAGTTATTTGTTCCTGGCAACCATAAGATCTTCTATATCTAAGTAATTTAATAAACACACTTCAAACATTTAATATTAATCATAAGTACTGACCTACTTCATTTTACAAATTTTTTACAAAGTCCCAAGTGCATGAATTTCAGGTTAAAGAAAGAAAGAAAAAGAAATAAAAGAGATGAAGTCAAATGTCAGGTCTGTTGAATCATCTGCGGGGCAGAATGAAATGTGCAGATTTTATCCCATCCATGGCACATGGACTACCGGAGCATGAAAAGGCACAAAGGCCACCCCCGCCAGGCACACACTCCCTACCCCAGGCCCTGACAGGTGGCCTTGCAGTTGCTGTCTATATACCTCCTCTTCTGGTCTCATCCCTCAAGGCAGCCAGATTCTAGGGGTTTAGAAGCTGTTTCTGACCTTCAGCAGGATCTGCCGCCTTGGACATCTACCTCAGCCTGAGTATGCTTTCTGCAGCAACACAGAACGAGTACTTCCTCTGCACATAATATTCCTTCGTACATCAGATGACTGCTTTTCTCCCTCCTCTTTGGGCTAAATATTCCAAATAGGACACAGATTTTAGATCCCTTACCATCCGGCTCATCCTTTATTCCCATGCCAACTTCTCTCTAAAAACAAGTACTCAGAGTTAAGCATAGTATTAGACAGGCTTTCCATGGCTCTTAGGCTAAAATAAAAAATCTGTAATTTGATCTACAAAGCCCTCTAGAATCTGGCTCTGCCCATCTCGCCAGTCTCAGCTGTACCCTCTGCTGTCCTGGTCGTCCTTAATTCTTAGCATGTGCCACGCTCCTCCCCTCCTCAGGGCCTTTGCACGTGCTGTTGCCACACCCATGTCTCCAAACCTCCCTCTGGCCGGCCAACGAACACTCATCCTTCAGATCTAGGCTCACTTGTCCTGGGAAGAGCCTTTCCTGGTCTCCTCTCTCCACCCAGGCAGCCCCTGCACTGGCTCGTGCCTGGCACACAGTGTGTGCTCAATAAACGAATTACACGCAATGGAATATTCCCTTTCCACAATCTGGACACTTCGACTACTGTTAGCTTCCCCCACCCACAATACATTAACTTCAAGTACTGGCCACTCAGCAGCGATCCGCAGCCTGATCCTTAGGGTACAAAGCTGCAAGATTAGCACGCTCGTGAAAGAGACCGAAGTGCAACACCCAAAACCCAAACCTAGAGCTGTACCATAGAAGAGTCTGTACAAAGGGTTAGGAGCGCCCATGGCCAGGGGACAGGAATGCTTCTCGAGGTGGCATCTGAGAAGAGAGGGGCAAGGACATACCGAGATCTACTCAAAATTAGCTGCACAGCACTAAGCAAGTCACTTCTCTCTGCGGCTGTCCTTCCCCTTTAAAGTGAGGGGCTATGGCAGATGACCTCTGGGGCCTTCTAGCCCTGAAAGTCTAGATACCACGTCCTTGATGTTAATAAACATACTGAGTAGTTAGTACTTATGTGAATTAACTCACTTATCAATACAGGTATGGCATCATCTCACTTTGAGCTGAGAGCACTGAGGTGCGAGGTGAGCTGCCCCAGGACCACAGAGGGACCCAGGCTTTGCCCGGCATCGACTCACAGCCCAGGTTCCTGATGATAATGCTATGATACTACTTATCTGTTGTATGATGTTTCGTTAGAAAACATCATGAATAGTTTGATCAAAATAGTTTTGAGTTGTTTTCTACAAAGGACAGATACCAAAATGTTAACCAGGCTTATGGGTGTGTGTTTTTAAATCTACTTCTGGAATTTTCTAATTATTAATTTAACATTTTCAAAATTATTAACTTTGTTTTAATAATCAGAAAAAAAAACTTTAGAAAGAAATATTCTGCACCGAGTTCAAAGTCTTTCCAAATCCAGTGTACTGGCTACCCATCCCAAGTTCAGGCTACTAGCAAACTTGATCAGCACAATCCTCATTCAAGACACAAATGAAAATGTAGACAAGACCACTGCAGACACTTGTCACCACCTCATTAACACCCTTTTGACACAATAATTCAAACACTGGTAAAATCAGACATCCTACGTTTATTTACGCAACTCACTCAGAATCAGTAAGTGCTTCCTATGTGTTAGTTACAAGGCAAGTACCTGGTACAGGCACCCCACCACCCTCCCGATGTAGCAATTCTATTGCATAAAATGGAGCCCAGATGAACTGATTTATGTTTTATCATTTATTAAATGTCTCTGATTCAGGAAATGTATAGTTTTTACGTACATCACCTTTTCCATCCTCGTAAATAACAGTACGTAAAGTAGAAGTGACTGTTCTCACTTTATGGCTAGGAAACGGAAGGATCAGAGAGGTGAAGTAACCTCCTCCAGGTCACAGAGCTAGTGGGTGGCAAGGCTGGCACCTAATCCCAGGTCTGTCTCACTCCAAACAGCACGCTGCCCCCACATTCCTTCCCTCCTCCTCCTACCGCCCCCCCCCCAGGTGCCACCACACCACTGGCAAGCCAAAAACTTTACCCCCAAACCTGCAAATCCTAAAGTTGGTCGCACACGGGCACACAAAAAAATAAATAAAAATTAAAAATCATCAAAGAGCCCTAACCGGTTTGGCTCAGTGGATAGAGCGCCGGCCTGCAGACTGAAAGGTCCCAGGTTCGATTCCGGTCAAGGGCATGTAGCTCGGTTGCGGGCACACCCCCAGTAGGGGGTGTGCAGGAGGCAGCTGATCGATGTTTCTCTCGCATCGATGTTTCTAACTCTCTATCCCCTCTCCCTTCCTCTCTGTAAAAAAAATCAATAAAACATATAAGAAATTTTTTTAAAAAAATCAAAGAGCAGCGAGACACTGGGTGTTAGCTTAGAAGAACTCAAGGAATTTCGGCCTCCCCGAAACTTGGCAATAGAATTTTCAACGGAATGATCTGTTGCTTTTTCCAAGAAAACACACACACACAAGTTTTTGGTACGAGACTGCGCTTTTTCTGGGGTTTGAAGTCACGCGATTTTACATGAGCTTTTCTGCCCGGACCCCTCCCCTTTTCCGGGCGGGAAGTCCATCCTCCTGGACACCAGTTTCCCGCTCCCCCTGCCCCCCCTCCCCGGCGAGGGAGTTACTCCGACGAGCTGTATTTACTTTCCCCCTCTCTGCACAGGGATGGCGCCGAGGTCATTTTCTGAAAGCACTTAGAAATCCCGGTCTCCAATCCTCGCTGCGGGAACCAACGACCCTGGCGGTCGAGAAAACGATGGCCGCGAGACGCGGGTGGGGTCAGGGCTGGGCCTCAGGCCCCAGCGTCCACCCTCGCTTCCAGGGGAGGCGGCTCCAACCCGGGCCTCCGACTCCATCAACC